CATCAGTATTATAACAAATCTATACACGCACCTTTTTAGATATCAAATCAAGAGACATGTAGATTCCAAGAGATAGACAGATAGACCGATACAAATATTGCTACATTTCTGTTTGGCAACTTCCTCTGGCAACGTAGCAGTAGCCAAGGTTGATGATGACGAACATGAAGATGCTCAGTTGGAACAAGAGCGTGAGAATCTTCTAGATGACCCAATGAATGCGGCTCGTGAAGAAAGGGGCGAACGTGAAGACGAGCAAGAGTCTGACCATGAACCCGGATCGGCACGGGACCGCCCACGCAAGAAAAAAAAACAAAAAGTGGACCAAAGCTCAACTTTACAGTGCATACCGTGGAAAAGGCCCCCACAAAATGGTCTTCGACTTCTTGCACGAGCAATTTTTGCGTGAAAAGTGTGAGATTTTATGTCGCATTGGTGTCCCACTCATGAACAAGTACCACCATGACTTGAGACATCAGAAAGGAGAAACCCTGGACCGCTTAAGGTGGTATGTGGCGAGGGCAACCACTGCCAATCAGGAAACTGTGGTGAACATCTTGAGGGCAGCTTTTTCATCTGAATTGCCCACTGCAATGAGATTGACACCGCGGTCATTGACGTGCATGTCCCCTGCCGACCCACGCCTTTCCGAGGAAGTAAACCTCATGAAACTGGCCCACGAATTTGCTTGCAACCTTGCAAGTAACTATGGATGGTCACAGCAGATGTTCCACTGGACTTTCCCTTTTGCAGTGGCAGGGTTATTGTCGCAGCTTGAAAGAACTTAACTCACTGGTTTTCTTCCTTTTCCTCGCATTTGAAATTTGAAGGAGGTTGTGTTTGCACAGTGCATTCACAAGTTGATTTAGAAATTCATTGACTCAGGAGTGGACGCAGCGCGCGTTCTCAATGCATGGAGCACTTGAAGAGGATCACGCAAGCAGTCATTGCGGCTGAGCAACTTGTGCTGGATGGAAATGCACCCGGTCAATTGCAGGCTGTCTTGAAGGATGTTGGATGGGCCAATGAGACTTTCAGTCGTGAGCTCATGTTTTTGCTCCGGAGTTCTGGCTTCAACATTGACAATGACATCAAGCTGCGACAGCTGTTGTGGAGGTTTTGCAATGGCTCAAACTCCACACAAAGTATTTTGGAGAGCGCATTCGCGCACCTCAGAGACATAGCACAGAGGCAGGCGAAAGCCCTCAAACTCAATCCATATTGCCTTTGGATGTATGCAGTGGGTTGCCCGTATGTCGAAAAATCAGGGATGGCTCAGCTGCTGCCGACTGCAACGGACTGGCTGCGGCACGCACCGCTTCTGGGCCGGTCCGCCGAACCTCTTGCGCAGGTTTTTAAGAGGCTCTTCAAGCTGGAGAAGACGATCCTCCCGAAAGGAGAAGACATTGACTTACCCTGTAACGCGGCTGGCGTGGCCAAAACTGGTTGGCGGAACGCTGGCCCCCTCAGCCACTACAAATCGTCCGCTGCGACGGCCTTCTTGACGCGCGACGTCAAGTTTAACTTTGTAAACGCCTCGAGCGCTTGGGCCGCCTCGGTTCTTTGTCAAAAGGGTGTCTTCTACAACACTGGTGACGGATCTTTCTGGCTCTCGCTGGGTTTCATGGTTTGGTGCTCTCTTGGGGTTCGCCTAGTTCTTCTTCGCTGCAATGACAAGGAAGGGCAGGGTTTTTGAGCATGGGCTGTGACAATCAAAAAAACATTTCAAGTCAAAGTTGAGTCAGAGATCCTTTCCAATTTAAGCAAGCTGTGATTTTTCTGCTTCTTTTTTGACCACGTTCCAATTCATGGGCTGATGAGGAGTACCTGGTGATTGACAAGGAGTGCGTCGTGGACTACATGTTCAACTTTGATGTCACTGAAGCTGGGCCATGGAAGCGAGTGGTCCTTGCGCACTGTCCCCCGGCTTGTCTTCCAGAAGAGCTTGCGCACTGTGGGAGCGGTTGGGAAGTGATTCATAAAAACAGGATGCCATTGAAAGAGAGCATTCGTGACAAAAGCTTGCGCTTGCGTGTTTCGGATCTGAAGCAGATTTTTGCTGCCCTTGGCATCAACCCACCTGCAAAGCCAGGCTCTGGGAAAAAGGGTGGCATCATCAAAGTTGATTGGTGCCGAGTTCTTGTGAACACTCTCTTCACCATCGGCTTTACTGATGATTTCAAGAAGGATTTGATCAAGCATTTGTGCGGCACCAGCCACAGGACTGTAGATGTTGACATTTTGTCAGCCGTTGCTCACCTCGACACTGAGAATTTCGAGGCATTCCGACATTTGCAAAAGGCAGCGATAGAGACAATGGAGCTTGGAGTTTTTGGAAGCGCGGAACAAGCAGAAAAAGAGTTGAAAGAATTCAGCTTGGAAGAGGCAGTCAAACAGACTGCACCAAAAGTTGAAAAGCTGAAGAAACAGCATGCTGAACAAGTCAACGCCAAATCTCTCAGAAACTGGGGGCAAACTCCGGATGATTTGAAAACACTTCTTCCAGGAGGTGGCGAGATCAAAGGTGTCTTTTGGATGTCCCTGAACAAATTGAAAAAGCACTTTCGCGTTGACTACCCCATAAGTGCCTTTGTCTTGTCACTAGCGCGTCAGTTTTGATTTTGAGACTACATTTCATTTGCCAGATTCTGGGCCCATGACTATTCAAATATTATAATCGTTAACGCCCCCAAAAAAAACACGTTTGCAAATAATACTATATAATCGTTATATAGTCCTTGTCATCGCCTCATCGACCGACAGACGAACTGCTTGAGCTGAACAGCATCCAACGCAGCTGGCCGACCACCAGATGCACCAACGCTTTCGAAGCGCTGCAAACGGTTCTCCATTGGACATACACTAGGTGGAACAAACGTCATCCTGATCAAGAGTTTCAAATGTGCTTGGGACCATCAATGGCCAAACTTTTTGCAGCCTTATGATACCCCAGGGATGTACAAAATAATATCCACAATTTTGGTCACACAAAAAAGTGGGGAAAATGATTTAACTCACATTTGGGGCCCACGTGGATAATCCAAATCATTGGTAAAAATAAGTAAATATAATAATTACGCTATGGGGTGCAGATCATATTTAATTTGTTCCTGCAGGGTAATCCATTATCATCTAAAAGTTGGCGCTAAGGCCGACAGATGAGACTTTGCGCAAGTACGTCGCAGAGCATGGAATCTAAAATGCCAACACTGGATTCACTGGAGCTGGAAGCATGAAAAATCGCAGCGGATGCAATGCCTGTTTTGGGGAACTAGGTTTGGTAGATCCAAATGCTATTTCCAAAAGAATCGGTTGAATTCGTCACTAAATTAGTGCCATCAACCATCCATCAGCTTCGGTGTATGTTATGTACCCCGTAAGAAAGATTCGATTCTGTGATAATCAGGAAACCGGTCATTTCCACGGAATCCCTGTCGTTGAGTCTAGTTCCCTAAGATTGGGGTAGTGACTTTCCTTTGACATCGGTGCTGTTTTTTACCACCACAAGAAACATCTAACTATTTATGGTGAGCTATGGCAATCAAGCAGTGTTTCTTTGTCATGGGTCTCATAGTACAAACAAATCTTTCATCAGTGTTTGCATTCCCACCACCTAAAGTTTTTAAAGACGGAGGACCCGAAACATAATTCTATGAATGTAGGAAGGGCCATTGAAAGCCAATTCAGGAATCCCATCAAAAGAATTAAGGCCTAATTAAGCACTTTGAACCCAAAATTGGGGAAAACCCAGCAACCCTTAATTTGGTCTTAATTAAGGCCTACTATAGGGGGGGGGGGGCTAGGGGGGGGGGGGGTTAGCCTTCTGTGACATCAATGTTGCCAATGCTTGGTATATGGTACTGCTGTGTCTGGCCGGCCCCAGGCGATGGTCCATCAAATTCCAATGTCTTCCAAGCAGAATTGTTGTGATTTCATTTGCATCATTTTACATCATTTTTGCCAAAAGTGTGGCATGGTTGGATGTCAGTCGAATGTCTTACTCAAATACCACCAGCATATTTGGTCCCCATATTGAACTCCAGCCCGGGGGCACATGGTGATATTTTTTTTTCGAGGAGCCTATGCCCGAGAAAGAAGAATCCGTGAAGGAGTTCGTGACCCGAAACTTGGGAGAAGAGGTGCGCAATTCACGCTTTCGCTGAGCTGCTGTTGGTGGGCGATGCACCTCTCTGGGCCCACAAAAGGTTCCTTGTTTTTTGCATGTTGAATATTGGCGTTTGGGGGTTCACAGTTGTACTATTTTCATCGTTTTTCCTTTATTTTAATTCAATATCAATCGATATATATATATATTATACATATATATATATGTGTGTGTGTAACAGTGTGTATATGTATATAATGACATATAATGACACGTAATGACAAATAATGACAAATAATGATCATGACGCTGAAATCCCTGGAGCCGGGTGGAGGAAAGGATTGTGACGAATATATTTTCAGACAGAAGCTGCATCGCAGCGACTCGGGGAGCAACTTTGATACTTGAATCTTGTGCATTCGTTTTCTACTCGGCATCTGGGGTTGGCGATGGTTTTGGGGTGCTGTTGGGGTACGGATTTTCCAGAATGAAATGGATGTGTGTCCGGTGAATGAACTGTCTAGGTCCAGGTAAGTGTGGGTACCGGACGGGTCAAGTCATGATCTATGTCGATATCATTAGGTACCGCAAAAAGGAGCACATGACCCGCAGATAGACCGGTCATTTTGAATGTCACCGGGTTGATGTCCGAGAAGTTCTACTGGAAACCCCTGAGTTTTGGCATCACATCTTTGGGCTTTCTTACGCTATCCCTCCAAGATTGAATAGAAATGAATAGAATACATTTTAACTCATTTTAAACAACCATTCAGCATAATTCAGCCTAATTTGTTTGCAGTCTTTGGCTGCTCGACCCACCAAGTCATGTCAGCTCTGTCCTCTGCAGCAGCTCGGCTCGTCGCCTCTGGGCGTTCACGGGCACCCGGGGTCAGCCATGTCCGAAGCCAGTGGGCAGAGGCAGTGTTCTGCTTCAGCAATGTCATACACTAATTACCCATTAATAAATGGATCGTTTCAATCCCAGCCATCAAAATGGTAAATTTATATATATATGTAATTAAATTTGGGGATGGTGATCCTTTTTTGCTGTGCTATGATTATAATTGCTGGGTTTATGCTAGAGAGACCGAAGTAGTTAAGAGAGTTTAAAACCCAACTCAGGTAACGAACTGGGGGCACCACCTTGTACAAATTTTGTTAAATGTTGTTCATTCATGCCATTGGGATGATAATCCCCAATATATTTCTATTTTTGTTTGGGGGGGCAGGGAACGGAATAAAACCACCAATCGGACAATGCTTCATCCAATGCCAATCTTGGTCGGTGAACTGGATGAGCTAATTGGTCTGTGTTTGGTATTTGTTCCGGGCTGGGCTGGTGGGAGACGACCTTGAACCACTCTCGAATCACCCTGCAACTTTCGGGGCTCGAAATTTGCTTGGCAATGAAGTTTTCTGATGTCTAAGGTTCCAACATCTCCCCAAATGAGCAGCCAGTTGAAGAATTTATGATCGACGAAGATTAAACCCCAAACCCTGCGGCCAAATCCAACAACATGAGTTCAAACATCCCATCGAGCCATATCGAGCCGGTGCTGGTACCACTGGAAAGCAATAGAATAGAATTTCACTTCGACCTATGTTCACCTTGGCCTGTGAACCTGTTTTATTTTTGCGTAAACCTTTGTAGAAATTGTGGGCTTTTATTTCTAACGTTTTCTAAGTGCGTTTAGCTTGTCACATCACATCTAAATCCCCATGGATTCCATGGGGATTTAGCAACCTCGAGAGAGGTTGTTTGCTCTTTTTTTGTAGCCCTAAACTTACTGTAACCCCCATGAATTCTGGTAACGGTATAGAACAGTTTTGAAGATTTGAAGACCTTCCAAAACAAGACAGCTCGACTTGGTTTACTGAAGGTTTGCTGAGCAAGACGCGGGAACCCCCATGTGGTAACAGCAGCATGGAAAGTGTACCCCATTGAATTAGCCATCCAGAGATCCATTTGGAACATGTTTAGAACCCATGAAAGGCCCAGTAAATCCTAGTAATGTGGGGAAAACACTGCCATAAACCCATTAGTCCTATAATGGTAAAAATACCACCTATAAAAATGGTGATGACTAGGATGACTAGGGGATGGTTTATGGTTTATGATGTTTATGACATTGTTTTACCCACATTAAGATATTAATGAAGACCCTGGGGACCAAACGGCCGCGCTGTCTTTTCAGGCCAATGTCTGAAGGCTTCTGGTCCCTGCTGGGACGGGACAACGATGCTGAGGATGAGGCGATGCTGAGGGAGCGGTTGATGAATTCATTTGGGATAATTTGAGATAATCTGGGATAATATTACCAATAAAATTTGGGTCATATTGCTGACATTTGCTGATTAAACCAACAGAATGGCGATTTACCCAACAAAACTGGTGGTTTCACATGAGATTGCGACTTAAGCAACACACATGGTATATTCAGTATATTCATCCAACAACGGGAATTTAACCAGCAAATGATTGTGACTTGAGCAACACAAATGGCGCCTTAACCAAGGACAACGGCGATTTACCCAGAATGTAAACGTCACCAGGACGTCAGCCCCATGATGTCAGATGGTATACAGCAATCTGCCAAGTATGGAGAAGACCAAGGCCGGTTTTTTGTGGGGGACCCCCATGGAAACGAATCCACAAGTAATCGAAGTATATACTGTAGATGTACGCATCCATAGGTACGTACTCATAATCATGCACTAACTATAATATATTATATATGATGTATACTGTATGTGCCTGTATTGATGTCCTTTCTATCATTTTTCCATACATGACAATCTGGGTGTTTTTTTTTTGGTGGTACCTCCAGGCCTGCATATCAAGCAGTCCATTGCTATAGCATTGCTACAGGTGCCCACAGATGCAGAAACATTGGAGGAGGCTTGGGCCATGTGGCAATGTGGATGATTTTAACTATATGGTTTATGCCTATCCAGTGGTGAGCTTAGCAGCTAAGGGTATCCATATTCTGACCATATTCCATATGAGCCATGGGGAGCCAGTTGGGGCTTCGAATCGAGTTTCCCAACCACATGATTCTTTTCATTGAATTATATAATGGATGATATGTCTAGAATACATGGATCATTTGATGATACTTGTTACTTCTATCATTGATTAGGTTGGCAGCGGACATCAGTGGAAATACCCGGAATATTCAAGTACCCTCATTGTTTGCTCGAAATCCACCAGTTACAGAATATTAGAATATCCATTGAAATGCCCATGTATGGGGAAATTCCCAGCCATGTTTGATTCCCGGAGGGCATACTGCAAAATGTTCGGTATAGTTGCTGGATCTTTTCCACAAAGATCCTGGGGTGCTGGAGTCAGTGGGCTGTTTCGGCTTTGACGCCGCTTTCTGCCTTTTAAGCCCACATGTTTGTGGCTACTGTTTTTATATGTTTTTATTTGTTCGGCATGTTTGTTGATTACCCTCTGGTAAACTAACATAACCTTAGAAAATCACCATTTTCAATGGGTAAATCCACTATAAATCACCATTTTCAATAGCTATGTTGACATAACCAGAGGGTAAATCATGTCAAATCACCGTTTCGGTTTGATTTGATAAACTCCTATGTTTCTTCCTGCAAAGATCTGTAATGTCAACCCCAGATTCATAAACCGAACTGGGCTGTTTGATTGGGGGCTACCCTTTTTGGTAGCAGAGTCGTAGCCCCGGTGATCAGGCTGAGTGAATCCAGGCATTCATGTTTCCAATGGCTAATACTTGATGGTTAATACCCAGTCATTATTGGTAGGGGATGGTTTATTGTTGGGTATTTCATTGGTTTTTAACACGTATTTTATGGGTTTGTTGTTGGGTCATTTATGGTAGATATTTCTGTGGGAAAAAATCTAATGACTCCCCATCCATTCCCACGGCGCCAGGACTGCCCCTTTGATGAGGAGGAACGGCAGCTGCTTGAGCGAAGACGAGAGCTGAAGGTTTCGCATGGCCCGGCATGGGCCTAGAGCTGGGTATAGCTCCAGTGGTGTTCCAGTCAGCTAAGTTTCGCTAAAGCCGCAAAGTTGGTTGATTGATTACTAGATATTCCTAGCATATAACTCGGGTTTCTGGATGTTTATTGTAGATATATCTCAGATTATCTAAGAATCTATTGTCTTGTTCATTGCCAGGAACCTACAATTTTGGGATGGTAAAAACAACTCTCATAGTTCAGAATGGTTCGTAGGAAAATCATGCATTGATCCCATACTAATATCCCAATCTGATGCCCAAGTATATTTTAATCAGATCCCGTGAGCTAATGGTTATACCCGTACTATTGATGGCCCAGCCGTAAAATCATATCATCATAATACTGACCACAAGCATGACATATCATCATCATAATCATCATCATCATCATCATCATCATCATAATCATAATTCATCATCATCAAACGGTGTTGTTCCCATTTACATCTTTACATCCCATAAACCTCAGCTGGTCCATGGTATTCTCATTTTAGATGTCCGTGCGATTATCATATTATGATATATGCGATGGTGTACAGGAAAATCGGAATACAAGACAGCTTAGAATTTGGCAATAACTGCCCAAGTCATTTTGTTTTCTCCTTTGGTATCTATATTCTCCTCGGAATATAGATGAAAGTATTCCCTTACAGCCTAACTTCGATTATGTAAACCTAATAAAAGACTCCAAAAACAAGCGCAGCATTTCGGGCTTGGCTGTTACATCATCCCAGTACTAAGAGCCCCCAGAAACATGAATCCCAATTGCCCATGGTTATGGCATTGGCTTTACCTCATCACAAGAAAAAAACAAGCTAAATTTGGATGTTGCGTAAATCCTCGCAATAAACTTCCATTCTTATCGATGGTTTTCCCCATTTTTATCACATTCAACCTCGCTTGTTGCGAGTTGTATTGTATACTCCCAGATGCATCAATATTGCTAGTTTACTTTGCTAGTCTACATGCATCATTATTTGCAGAATGTTTGTAATTTATATCATAATTTATCACTATATTTTAGACATGATTTTTATACCAACTTCTTTTTTTTCCGGGGGGGACTCTTAGAGATGGTCTGCTACGGACCAAACTTATTGAATATCCATGAAACACATTGAAAAACCAGGTGCTTATATTTTTTCTCCACTTGTAGCAACCCCCAAAAAAGATACCGCAAAATTATGAAAAGTTGTGAGCCTGGAAATTGTAGGGGAAAACATCGTTAAACTACCATCCTGGACATACTTTTCTGTCAACTATTTGGGGGTTTATTTCTTATCCCCCTTTCCTTCTGGTAATCAAACGTGGCAATGGAAGATCATCCATTTAGTTCGATGATGTCTGCATCAAAAGCTCCTATTTGTTGGTTAAACTTCCATTATCCACCATGGCTGGTAAAATCCCATGAAATCCCATGAGCTCACCAGAAAATCTCTTTTTCCCCCCCCAATCCGCCCAGGCGCGCAATTCACCATAAATTCACCATAAAATACCCTTAAATCCCATTTAAATCCCATTGAAATCCCCATAAAACCATCAAAATCATAAAATCCCCATCATTTGTTCAATCCTCCAGGCCCTGCTGCTGGCGTCGCGCCAACGTGCCGACGCCCTGGCAAGCGCCATTGATGCGCAGGTGGATGAGGTCATGTGCCAGGCCAGGGTCAGCTGCAGAAATGCTTGAGTTGGGATGGTGGCTCTAGGTCAATCAACTGGATGGGATTATCTATCAATATTATCAATGGGATTATCTATGGCTCTTGGATAGTGCTTGAGTTTATATAATCCTTTAAGTCGTTTGCTATCAATGGGATTATCTACTAACCAGCTAAGAATCGAATTGTTTGCAGGATTGGCCGTGACTGAAAATCTCTGTTTTACCGCTCACCATGGGATAGTTTTACCATGGTGACACCGAAAATCTCTCTTTTACATGATGGTGACTGAGATTCTTTGTTTTTTTTGTTGGATTTTTGACCCCAACATGAGAATAACTATGGGTTAAGATTTGGTAGGGCCAGTGACTGCTAAGCTCCTCTACAAAAAGCGTTTTTCGGGTGGCCGGGGAGGGAGGTGGCGGGGTTCACCAAATATTGGTGCAAATTGGTACAAATCAGTAGCCTTAATGTCCTGCCACCATGTTCCGCCACCCTTCCTGCACCACAAATCATAGGTTTTGGTACCGGTTTGCTCTTCCAGATGTTTAGCAGGTAGTGGGTCTCTCAAGTTAAGATGTGTTAATATCATTTTATGAGGAAAGAGATGGACAGATAAGAACATGTGTTTTATTTGGTTTCATTAGGTCCAACTATACTTAACCAAGAAGAAATGACACTTGAACATTGCTGAAGCAAGAGAAAATGCGGATCTTGGATGACCTTATTGTAGTTCTACACGGAAACAGCTAGATTGGAACATGTTTAAGCGAGAAAAGTTACGATTTTAATACGTTTGACGAGGAGGTTTCCTGCCGATTTTACCATATTTTCGCTTAATTGGGTCCTTTGAAATATTATAATATATAATATGCATATATGACTGATTCTAACGTATATTATAAAAACCCATGAATCGAACAAAAAAATGCTCGGAATCCTGTAGGATTACCGCCTGAAATGTCCATCATCAGCCAGGAGAAGCATCGGATGCACGTCATCGATGAGTTATCGCAGCATTGCAGCGACTTGCAGCATGCGCAGGCCACGGTTGGAAGTCCTTGTGACAAGATGCTCGTGGATATCCCCTAAACTTCCCATATAAGATGTATAATTATACACACTGATATGTAATGATAAATGACATGTATAACTTGTATATACTTATATATATATATATGTATGAGAGAGAGAGATGTAAGCCATAAACATATACATAACAAGTTCTTAAGAATGTTTTAGCTCATCACCTAACTACGCCAACCCTCAACAACGTGCGGGTTTCCCAAGCGAGAATCGGAACCGTCTATGATTGGGTGCGCTTTTGGAGGGGCACCTGCAGAGTTCCACAATGCCAATGAGTCGAAGGGGAATATGATGGGAACATCACCTACCAATCAATGGAGATAGATGACCTCAGAAATCATCGACCCAGACAATAACAGCAGATGAGAAAACATTGACGTCAGAATCCTCAGAATGTTAACAATTGGCCAATCACAGTTGTTGGTAATCCTCTGGGATACTGTATAGGCTTCGAAAAGATGACCATCAGATAAGTCATCCCCATAGATGATCTCAACGATGCCTAAGATGGGAGTGCAATTTGCTGTTCCTTTTCAATGCGTGGGATATCGTTCATGTTCGTTGATTCGTTAATGCGATCTTACTTGGCATTAAAACACCTTAGAAGATGTGACTTTGGAGCTGTGCCGCTCCGTTATGACATGGCCACCCGGAAGCCATTATTATTCTTAAGAGGAAATTGTGTCCTCTTCACGGCAATCGCTCTTTTGATCTCTCCCCTTGACTGGTCGCGTTTCATGGCGGCCTTTGCGATTTTGTGGTCGCTCGTGGTGTCCCAGGACCTTGATGATCCAAAAAAAACGCTGGGCGTGGATAAAGTGGGTACTGAGGAATATGAATCTGAATGTTTGATAAACTTTGACTCTCGTAGAATTGCTAGGTCCATGTCTGAAAAATGGTTGATGAAGTTGATGATGTTTTTTGCATAGGCGGCCACAATGGAACCCCCAGCATTGACAATGCAAATTCGAGTCCTGAAAACACCAAGCGCTTCTTTTTGTGTTTTGAGGATTCAAAAGACACAACACCAATCTTTTGTCTTTTTCTTTCATAGGTTTGGGTTTTGCCATGTCATGGGCCCTTGTGATTTCTTGTCTCCATGTCATTACAAGGAGGCCTGCGCGGCAGAGCAGTGTGGTTTCAAGGGTGGGTCCAACACTGTGTCTAAAGATGTGGATGATGTGGCCTCCATGGTCCAACTCAATGTTGGCCAGTCCTCCAGCATTAACACGATGGCCCAACTAAAGAATGGCGCCTATTCCTTGGCAGCAGAAGGTCGCTCGATGGACCAATGGAAGTGAAGCCGGTCGAATCATCGCATGTTTGGACAGAGAACTGCAATCAACAATTCGCCGATACGCATCATTTCACGAAACACCCTCGTTGCATGCCAAAGGTAGCCTAGGCTACCTGAATTCCATGTACTTTAGTATATTATAAAATGCATATGGGTCAGAATCAAATTCTTCGCGGCTTTTCAGTCTTCTCACGCCCAATTTTCTTGATCTGTGTCTGCGTTGGAAACGTCAAAAGGTTTGTGTGATTTGTTGGATTGTTGTGTGATTGGCTGCGGCATAAAAACCAAGTGGCATTTTGTAGCGCTTTTTAGGGGCATTTTGGATGGAACGCGGTTTTTTTTAATGTAGTGAAATTATAATTCCATGTACTTTAGTATATTATAAAATGCATATGGGTCGGAATCAAATTCTTCGCGGCTTTTCAGTCTTCTCACGCCCAATTTTCTTGATCTGTGTCTGCGTTGGAAACGTCAAAAGGTTTGTGTGATTTGTTGGATTGTTGTGTGATTGGCTGCGGCGAAGAGTTGGTTTGGATCGTGTATGTGTTGGAGTCCGGGGGCGGTTTGTTGGTGAGATGGGCTTGTATCCAGTGAAACTTGCAAGTTTGCCTTTCCTTTTTTTGTACAACATTGGTTTCTCATGCTGCATGCCAAATCGGATGGACAGATCGTTGAATGTGTTCTTTGTTTGTTCTTTGTTTGTTCTCTGTTTGAGATGGAGTCTCTCAGTCTCTTGAGATTGGCTCAGATCAGTTTAGGTTCTCTTGAACTTCCTCAGTGAGCGACGTTTGTGTCGTGTGTGACCAGGGATTCCCGACCGAGGCAAAACCTGCGATCAGCACTGCAATGACAACAACCTGGGCACCTGTAATGCGGAAAAGACCAGCAGTGCCACCAAAGCCGACCTGGAAGCCCTGTCTCCTACTAGGTGCCAATTTCAGGACTTTTCCCGACCTTATTCTCCTTTCTTCGAGACCGACGACTACACCCACTACCGATGCTTCGCAAACACAGGAACATACCCAACTACGTGCGATGCAAATGCTGTCGCTGATCATCATCCCCAACGAGTCTGCTACTGCGAGGCTGGTGGTGTTGTTGGTGATCCCCATATCCACAGCTTGCGGGGGGCCCATTACACCTTGCTGCAGCAAGGCTTTTTCGTTGCCTGGAACTTCTCCAAGGCTGTGCCAGCATCAACTGTGCCAAGTGCAGCTCCAGCTCGTGGGTGGCAGCTCGTGGCGGCCTATGCAGGCCATCGCTTCACCACGCAAGGCCTGCTTTTGGATCCCACTCCGGGCAGTCAGTCCATGGAAATCATGGCAGAAGACTGCTCTTGGCGTGTTAAGGAGAAGAAAACCCCATGGCGCAAGGCGCAGGTGGAGTTGCTATCGGCAGAAGACGGGACGACCAGCCTCCAAGTGAAGAGGCTGCACGAGAAACTGGGCGAAACCAAGATCTTGAGGTCTGCAACAGGATTGCAGACCTCAAGATCTTGGTTTCGCCCAGTTTCTCGTTGACATGAAGAACATCTCGAACCTTGTGGCCCATTGCAGGCCAAAGCATCACCTGGACTTCAAGATAAGCATGTTCCAGAAGAGCGACATCGACCATGTGGGTGGTGAACTTGGAGTGGCTCCAGACGTAGACCACAACGGACACTTCTTGTTCAGCAAACAGGGCATGATGCGAATGAGAGGAGACCAAGAGTTTAAGGCTGGGATGACTCAGATACATTTTGGAAACGACGGAGACACATGTCCAGACTACCGATTCCCAAAGAGACTAGTGACTATTACCATTGTTTGGCTGACAGCAGTTGTGGAAGGTACTATACTTTGAATGCATCAATACCACTGTCTTCAGCGCTACTAAGGGGCTTTTGGTACATGGGATACTCTAACAGGATTCCTGACACTTGAAGTATAGTATCCAAGATTTTCCCGAACACTTTTCCCTTCTCAGCTGTTCGTCAGAGCAGTCAAATCTATAGATATGTACATATGATTACATATGTATATATGTAAGAAGTGATGCTGGGTGTACTTGAACCCGGTTTCCATACCATTCCATACCATTCCATACCATGCCATGAATTTTCAGAAGCCTTGTTTTGAGGCACCTGGATCGTGGGTGACCTTGGGTGGCAGCCCAGCTGGGGCCGCATACTTGGAGAAGAAACACCAAACAGGGACAAGTATGGTGCAGTCGCAGGGTTGCAGTGATGCTCAGGAGGACGATGCCAGAGCCATTTGTTCGAAGCACCTCCAGCAAACGACTCACCCGGAGACGTTTGCTGATTGTGTGTACGACTTATGCCATGGAGGTGATGAATCTTTCGCCCAAAGTGCGGCAGCATTCCTTTCGGAATCCAGCGCCTGATAAACTTTAGGCGCGAAAGCAAGCCGCCGCAAATGGCTGGAGTGCTGGGATGCTGAACGCAGACGCGTGTACGTCCCAAAGAAGAAGTGAAAAAGACTACATTTGCCTGGCCGCATATTAAACGGGATGTTTTTGAATTAAAAACGAAGATTTTTTGAAACGATGAACATCAGTAAACGCATTGTAAACAGGGGGTTGATGTGACCCTGATGTGACCCGGTCGCATCGGCTCCACTCAGATCTGCCAGGAGCAACGTCAACAGGAACTTCTGCAAGAGCTTGAAAAGAGCTTTGGCTGAAGATCAAACTGAGCAGTGTCCAGCTGGGGCGAAAAATTGATTCCTCGAGGGAGTGAGTCGCTGCCCTAAATTATGTTCAAGGAAAATGTGTTTCCTTGTCCCTTCTTTAACCAATCAGATCATCAATGTATAGTCCATTTGCCTGTATTTTCTCAGTGTATGCATACTTACTGTATATATATATACATGTACCACCATACCTGGACGATGCGCGGCCCCTCATTCTGAGGCTCAACGCTGCCACACAGCAGTGCAGCGAATGCGAGAACCGCTCGCAGCGACTTGGACGCAGTTGTGGGCCAAGCGTCAGTTGTGGGCGCTAAGAAAGATGGAATCAAATTTGGATTCATTGAGTTTGACAATGCGTCGGGCCGCATGTAATTACATGGTCTAAAAGGTTGCTAATTTTTTCTTTCTTAAGATGCTAATCGTGCAAGCCGGGTGCTGGGTGCTGGTTGGGGTTGGGAGAGATCACAGTACAGCCAGTCCAGGTTCTTGGTGGAACGGATCATCACTCTGCTGGCCTGTAGCCCGTTGGATGCCGAGCACGTGGGCGTGTTGAAGGCCAAACACCGGGCAGAACGGGAGATGCTCAGACAGCCCGGAGTCCTGGCCCTGGCCCATTGCGAGGGGTTGGGTTATCTCGGTTGTTGTTATGAGGGTTATATCATTATATCCATGGTTATATCCCTGTATAAATCTCAAGTGCCCAACGGTTCGAGTGAAAAGAGCCTTTGGATGGGACTTGGAGGTGGTTGGCGGCCCCAGGTGCTTCTAGAATCACCGGAATATTCTCCTGAAAACACACCCGAAAATGACAGAAAATCCATGAGGTACAAAGAAACACCATCTAAGAGGTAGATGTTGATTGCCGGAAATGGACATGGTGAATAACCACACCGGTCCTGCAACAGAATGGCACGTCAAGACCTCGATTCTTCCTTTGAATCTTGACACCGAAATGTCTTTTGGGAATGTCTCACATCCTCCAGGGGCGAAAAAGTGGGTGCTAGGGAAGTAAACTATTTATAAATATTCCTAGAATATTCCAGTTATGTGGTAATGTGGTAGATTCCCATTAAAGTTCCCAATATTTCAGATGATCTCCCAGTCAGACGTCCTCCTTTCCGGAACCAGACAAAGTGCTCTCGAGCAGGGGTAGTTGTTTGATGCTCTGAGATGTGTCACAACTGAGCTGACAAGGAAGGCTGTCAGATAATGGCCTTAATTCATTTTAATTCGCACTTTAAACACTTCAATATATGTTTATATGTTTTGTATTGTTTCGTTACATGCTTTATCAACCGACAGTCCATCCTTGCCCATTTTTTCCAGCGTTTTTGGTGCATCAATCCGTGGCGTCTTAGGTTTGAAGACATCCGGCAGCAATACGATGAGGTCAGGCAGCAGAATGTGGAGCCTCGGTTACGTTTCAAGGTGTTTCAATGGATAACACATGGAGGAATCATTGAAAAAACATGTGGGGCATACCCCAACAAATGGAAACATCGGGGAAACTCTCTGGAAATAATGACCAGTAATTTGGAAATGATAGCTCGAGATACCCCCATTGTACAATGTACCATCTGGTTATTTAACATAGCCATGGAAAATCCACCCATTTTTCAGAACGGTAAACCGGTAAACCATCTATTTCGATTAGGGCCATCTATACCATGGCTATGTTAGTCATAACCAGAGGGTAGAGTCCATTAAATCCCATTAAATCCTATTATATAAATCCTATTAAATCCCATGTTTTTTTTTCCACAGCCAGAACTTGGGGGAATAATTATCAATGTAATGATCAGCCGATCGCTGCTTGAGTCAATGCTGTGCTGAGCCGAGCCGCTCAGGAATTGACCAGCCGATTGTTGGAAGAGTCACTGGGCAAAATGTCGACCCGTCGACCCTGAATTATTTTGACCTCACTGAAATCATGGTTTTCATAAGGGGAATCATCCCCAAATGGGTTTATTTAAGGTTAGTGAACTAATGTTAATATTATAACTTATACATATTTTTGGCTGGCTATATCCAACATTGAGGCTGGCTGAAGGCCTATTTGGTGATTGGTTCGGACCCCTTTTGGACTTTTTACCGGTTTGGTTGCTTGCACATAGGCGCTGAACATCCGCAAGTATGTTTCACAAACTGTTTTCAACCATTTTTGGGATGATGATCGCCAATATGTTCGCCGTTACTCTCCCCCTTGACCACCTTGAAAGAAGAGTCTCGAAGTTATATAGCTGTCTATTTCTAGGAGAACATGGGCCATCAAGACGTTGTCATTGCTGGATTAGATAGCCATACAGATTCAGAATTGTGTTGTGCTTTTGGGGTTGGATGGATTTTAGCCCACGTCAGACCCACTAAAATTGAAACCCATTGAAACTAACTTAGAAGGGGAGCAGCAAACCACCAAGATTCAAATCGAGCCAGTGCAAGTATACTTGGAATTGGATGGTGACATCTTCATTTGCTTGAAGCCCATTCTTGTTGGTTATATATGACAAAAAAATATCTTTACTTTGGATGCTTAAACTTACCACATCTTACCACAATATAGTGCATTCAAAGCGAAATTGGGGCGATGACCCCTGCTGGCGTGTTTGCAGGGTTTTATCGATGTTTCACACAAGGGTCTTTTGGGGTTCCTGGTGTATACAGTACATTCATGTATATTCAAGGGTTCCCAGTAATTACAGTATAGACAACTAGTTCTTCAACATGTCAACACTTCCACCCTTCATTTCATGAGGATTCAAACTACCCGCTCCCCCCAGGCCCAAGGGCGACGGAACTGTCAGTAGAATATTCATGTCTTAACCATCTCAACATATGGATACACATGGGAACAACGCCTCATTTGTCCAGAAAATAGGTTTTTAAATATGTCAACAAATGCCATTTCTCATTTCCATTTATTTTATTCAAATAAGCCCAAAACACTAGACGACGGTTGGCCCGAGAGCGAAAAAGATGTTTTTCAAGCAGCTCTGAGGATGGTAGTCGTAAAAGATAGTCGGTGAATAGTTGGTGAAATTTATATGAGCTATGGAAAGATATGGTGTGAAAAAGTAAGATTGATCAAGAAGAGAATATTTGGTAAAGGGCATCAGATGACATGTGTCTTGCAACCACAGAGAGAAAGAGGGGGCAGAGATAAAGAGAGAGAGAGAGAGAGAAAGAGAGAGAGAGAAGAAAGAGAAAGCAAGAGAGAGAGAGAGAGAATGAAAGGGGGAGGTAGAAAGAAAACATGGAGAAATGTAATGTGAGCAACAAAAGTGCACAGGAGGCTCGGTACCATGAGTCTGCGAATGACATGTGCTATCTCATTTTATTATGGTAATTCCCACACACATTGCGGAAAAAGGCTCGGCACCATCATTCCGTGAACGCGAAGAAACGCGAAGCTTTTATACAGAGACGCTTTTACACACAGAATCTTTTACACATAAACACTTTTACACACAGACGCTTTCACACAGAGACGTTTTTCATGTCGTGCGGTAAAAGTACACACAAAAGCTTTTACACACAAACGCTTTTACACATGGTGCTTTTACACAAACATACTTTGACACACAGACGCTTTGACACACAAAAGCCTTTACACACAAACGCTTTTACACACAGACGCTTTTACACACAGACGCTTTTACACACGAAAGCTTTTACACAGACGGTTTTACACACAGACGCTTCTACACGCAGACGCTTTTACACGCAGATTCGTTTTACACACGCACACACGCTTTCACACACAAACGCTTTTACACACAGACGCGTTGACACACAAACGCTTTTACACACAGACGCTTTTACACGCAGATGCTTTTTACACACGCACACACGCTGTCACACACAAACGCTTTTACACACAGACGCTTTTACACACACAACGTCCATCGCATTTTTGCCTCAGTTTTTGACGTCCAACGTCCATTTCGTGCGTAAGGATTACGATTGAAGAAGTCAAATCGTAATTTTTCCTCAGTTTTTGACGTCCAACGTCCATTTCGTGTGTCAGGGTTGCGATTGACTAAGTAAAGTCGCAATTTTTCCTCAGTTTTTGACGTCCAACGTGCATTTCGTGCGAAAGGGTTGCGCGCGACGGATAAAAGTTGCAATTTTTCCTCAGTTTGCGCGCGACCAATAAAAGTTGCAATTTTTCCTCAGTTTTTGACGTCCAACGTCCATTTCGTGCGAAAGGGTTGCCGGGGACGCTTCAAAATCGCAATTTTACCTAGGTTTTGGACGTCCAACGTGCATTTCGTGCGAAAGGGTTGCGTTTCGTGGCGCTCCGGCGGCACCGCCCCCGCCTTAAGAGAGAATAGAAGAAGAGCGAGAGGAGATCTGCAGATGTGAAGGTGTGAAGATCTGCAGGTGTGAGGGTGTGAAGATCTAGATCTGCAGGTGTGAGGGTGTGATGATGTAGATCTGCAGATGTGAGGGTGTGAAGATGTAGATCTGCAGGTGTGAGGGTGTGAAGATGTAGATCTGCAGATGTGAGGGTGTGAAGATGTAGATCTGCAGGTGTGAGGGTGTGCAAGATGTAGATCTGCAGATGTGAGGGTGTGAAGATCTAGATCTGCAGGTGTGAAGGTGTGAAGATCTAGATCTGCAGGTGTGAAGGTGTGAAGATCTAGATCTGCAGGTGTGAAGGTGTGAAGACCTAGATCAGCAGATGTGAAGGTGTGAAGATGTAGATCAGCAGATGTGAAGGTGTGAAGATGTAGTATAACGGTTGCTTTTTTACGAAGAACCCTTCGCAGGCGCTCTCGGGAACAAACCCAAACATTCCTCGATGGCTTATATAACTCCTATTGGATCCATTTATATCCACACGATAATCCCAAATCCTCCTGTGCATCACTGGAAGTTTGAATGGGAAGATCCACTAATTATAAATTTATGTTACCCTTTTGGGTAAAACCAACATAGATGTGGAAAAGCCGATGGTTTTCCCACGGAAAATCATATGTTCATATATTGTCCCTATGGTTTCCCTATGGTTTCCCTAGGAACATGACTGTTTCCCTATGGGTTTCCCTGGGGTTTCCTGGCGACGTGCAGGTCCTCCTTTTCGCGCCGGCTGTCGGATCAGCTGGCGGAGGCGGAGGAGCGCTTCAACCGCTGCACGCCGCAGGCCCGGATCACCGCTTCGATGGGAAGAAGATGGGGTTGTTTACATATGGTTAATACGATGTAACAATGGTTGATGATGGTTAATAATTGTTAATGATGGTTTATAATGGTCAATGGTTAATAATGGTTAACAATATAATATTAGTATGGTTAATGATGATTAATCAATACAATACTGTGCTTATTAGTGGTTCCCATACCCTCCAGTAACTTGACATAGACCCAGCCATTCATCGGAGTTGGAAGATGAGTTTCCACTAAATATTGGTTATTTTCGGGGTCTATGTTAATTTACCGGAGGTAATGTTCCCATATGCTTGATGATTTTGATGTATGGTATATGATCAGCTACAATGACGGTGATTTTTGGGGTGTTGAGAAATGTAAATGTTCCATGGAGCATATGGGGTTGGAAACCCAATAATTGATACACACATCCTTTTTGTTGGAGGGTTTATACGGTTTATACCACCCATCTATAGTGTTTCTTTGATTTGTTGGGTTTACTACACTGACCATGAAACATAGAGGTAGGTAGAACCAACAAGAACTGGGAAGATGACTGAAAGATGGAGGATTAAAGCATCAAACATTGCGGTTTAACCAGTGGTGAGGGCGCTTTCAGGCCACGAAAACCCGGAAACATTCGGGAGTGTTACCTGTTAGCTGGGAGCAATGAGGGTATATGTATGATTGTTTGACATGTGGTGCTTCGGATTGTTTTTCCATGTCTATTCCAAAACAATGAAGTGATGACATTGGCATGAGCAAAGCTGTGAGGATGGATCCGCAATCAAGTGTGCGTTGTCGGAAACGATGCCGACAATACTGTACCCAATTTATGTGCGCACATCAGGAGCAACAAGGAGATTTCCCAAAGATGGGAGGAGAATCCAAGATAAATGTCGAGATACGGAGCTGAGGCTGGCAGACTAGCCCCGATATCAGAAACCAAAGGCAGGATCATCAACCCCAAATGGTGCTTTTATCCTTCTGGCCTTGTTTGCCAGAGACGTTACAAAAGGTTTCGGAAATGAGATGGGACTTCGTATTGGATTTCTTCATTTTGGGAGGCCTTGAATGGCAGGGATACAAGATTACATTGGTTATTTATATAATGCTAATATTGATACTTTGATACTGTATATTATATACGAATACGTAATAGTACTACATATAATCATTCATACATACATACATACATACACACACACATATATATATATATATAGAGAGAGAGAGGCATTATATATGCCCATTACAGGATGGTTAAACCACCCTGTTTTTGCTGAGGATGGTTCCCTCCAGTCGAGCTCCACGAGCCAAGGCAGGGCGTTTTTTTTTGTGATGCGGGCGGTGCTGGTGATGAATACTTCAAAAACGACAAATACCCTCTGGTAATTTAACATAGCTATTGAAAATGGTGATTTATAGTGGATTTTCCCATTAAAAATTGTGATTGTCCATAGTTATGTTAGTTTACCAGAGGGTACAACAAAATGATGAGGATGACGATGACGATCTCGTTTATCCCATTATTTACTGTATCCAGTTTCAACACTGTCAACATGTTTCAACCATTCAGTGTGGTGCTGGATTTTTTCCATTCACAGTATTTCATGCGGGTATCCGGTATGCCCAAAAAATCAACAAAATTATCGTTTTTCTAACACAAATCGCAGTAAGAAAAATAACTGGTTGGTGGTTTGGAACATTTTTTATTTTTCCATATACTAGTATTGGGAATGTCATCATCCCAATTGACTAATATTTTTTTAGAGGGGTAGGCTCAACCACCAACCAGATAATGAAAAATACTACCAATGGAATGCTTGATACTTCGGACGTAACCTACCGGCTTGGCTACCACATTCCGAGACTGAAGCCACCAACCGACATGACGATCATTTGGTTGGTGACGTTGTTTCCGCACAATTTAGCATCATGAACACAGCAGTGGGAACTAATGACAAATGACTAGCTACTAAATTTTAATACTGTTACAGTACAGTAATTGTGAGCTGTTCATGAATACCAAATATTTTTTTTGTTGTAAGCTGTTCCCAACTATACTCCCAATATTTGTCACTTGTTCATGATGTCCCCCCAACTGAGGAAAAATCAACTATTCACGAATTCAAATGACAGACCGCTGACCAGGTGCGATGCCAGAGGCTTCAAATGCAAGTCTGACACCTAGAAAAATTGGACAGCATGCCACCAGTCAGGAACATTTTTTTAACCCGTGGGATAGCTTGGGTCGCTAGTTTAGTACGTCAATTGCTTACAATAAGGGGGGATATATGGTTGTATGTGGGCATGCTATGGGTAGTGATACTACATACAGATACATACAGTAATTATCACCTAACCAGCTATTATTGGGCAGGTACCTAAGATGCTCCAGCATTTGTAGACGTTACACAAGAGAAATGGTGTTTTTGAAGTGGCAGCTTTGATTCTGCCAGCGGGCAGGTGGATGTTCATGAGGGTGTCTTTTGGATCGTTTCTGAGATATACAAGGAGTGATACAGCTTTCGGCCGGGTTGCAACTCTCTCATCCAAAGTTGGCTATCCCAAAATTGGCCAAAATTCTCTATACCTATTGCCTATTGCGGAAATTCATGCAAATAATGTTTTTTAAGCGTAGTTTACATCCCTTCACCCAACGTCCCGGGGACAAAACCATCACGCTGCAGCTTGGCTCAGCCGCTCGCTTGGCGCCATGCACACCTCGCGTCTGTTGGTTGGCGCTGCCTGCGGTTCTGGCCTCGTGGCACTCAACGCCGTCCCACCACAACGGGCGCGCGGGACACCCACGGCGCACGTGCCGACATCGGTGCAATGTCACTTGGAGAAGTGGAGAAGTGCCGGATGCAAGCAGTGTGTTTTAGATCTGTAAAATAGATCTATTGTCATATATCAATATCAATAATATATATATATGTGGGTGTGTGTAGATAGAGATAAAAATAGATAAATGATAGATTTTAGATTTTATATATTAATATATATATATATATATTAGATATAATAGTATATATATATATATTTATAGGGATAGATATAGATATAGATAGGTACAGATATCTGGGTCTAGATATAGATAGATACAAATAGATATAGATAGATACATGTAATGCTATGTATATGTAATGGTATGTATTAATATGTATGATTGCGTTGTGTACATAGTTTTGTTTTTTTCTTTCGCTATATATCTCTCTCTCTTGGATGTTTGTACATTAAGCAAGTCTATGTATTGGGGATTGGTATAGCCTGGCCATCTATAGCTGATTTTAGGAATCCCTGTGAAGCAAGCTTCAAGAAGTCGACAAAAATCACAACACAATTTAAACCGTCCCCTTCGCCTGTTTTCAGAGCCCTGTGGAGATAGCTGAAAAAACGGATGGATCTATGTGCTCGTGAGTCGTTGTTTTTCTCATGTCCGGTTTTTTCCTCATTGTGTGAAGAAATGGAAGAACAAGAACATCCCCTATGTCTTTTGGTTGGATCGGGTTGGATTCCTGATTCCCAGATCGTCTTGCAGATGTCTTGGTCGTGACTCATGGGGGGAAGGGTTTGGGTTTGGTCTTAGACTCTGATAATTTAACATAGCTATGGAAAATGGTCCATTTTATATATGTTATCTGATGGTTTACTGTACCTATTCAACATGGTGATTCTCGCCAAAGGTAAATATCTTCAGGCGACTTTTTGAACTGCTGGAGTAGGGCTACATTTGTGTACCCCTATTCCAGCCAGTCACAGCCTGGACAACGGATCTGGTTTCCCTTCTGAAAAGATCATTATTGCGGGACCCAGTTGGTGAATGAAGAATGACTACCTGGGGCTATCCCAAATATGACCTCGCCATAACCTTGCAAAAATAACCTCCAGTTATCATTGAGAATAGATATGGAACACATTGGAAAAACACCTCGAGTCTTAGCTGGTGGAATTCCAAAAAAAAAACTCGCTGCCATGACCTGCTGACCTAGGTCACGAGGAGTGCAATAGCTTCAGTCGCTTAGATCGCTTGTGGCAGACCATTCAGGAGAGGCAAAAGAATCCAGACACGAGTCGCTCCTGGGTGTCTCTTGCCTGATTGAAAAGCCCTGAAAAATGTTAGTAAAGCAATAGTAAACCATCCATATTCATTTTTTGATGGTTTATACCACCAGTTAAAAACATGTAATTTTGGAGATTGTTTAGTATTGCTTCACTAACGTTAAATCCCAAGAAATCCTCATGTGTTGATGGTTTTCTTTCCATACATCTAGGTTTACCCAACTCGTTTTGTTTGGCTGGCTGAGGCTGGATGTTTGTTGCATCAAAACATGGTGCATGTTGGTGAGTTAATGGGCAGTTGATCAACCTAAGACCTAAGCAACTTGATATGATTCGAATCCCATTTCCTTTTCACCACCCACCCAAAATGGTGGATTTAGGGGATGACATCACATATTTTGGGACCATTGGGATGCTTGCGTTGAATATGAGGGGGAAGGGATTAAATGCGATTTAACCATATTTAACCAGTCAACTGGCAATTGAAGTATGATGTTCAAAGTTTTAAAATCTACATCAACCTACACAAATTATGAAACATGGGATTTGATCATATTTCATCATATTTCCAATATTTATATTTTATATATATATATATATATTATATTATATATATTATATATATATTATATATAATATATTATATATATATATCCAATGGTATGATCCATTCTTGCGATGGGATTCGACGGGATGTCTTGCCATGGCATGGCATCCATAATCTTTTGGGGGATGGCTTCATTTTATCACCCATCAAAATGGAGATGTTAGGATTCTTAAGGATGGTTTATTAGATTTTATACATTTTATTTGGATAAAGATAAGGAGATATTAAGGGTATTTACATCGGCTTTGCCACGTTTTTTTCCGTTTCATGGATATCCCTGGGATATGTTGTTGGAGTTCTTCCTTTACATCGATCTTTTTCTGGCGTTGGAAGGTCTAGCCGTTGGATTTTGCCCAGAACTATCTGGCGGAAGATGGTAGGAACAGAAATGCAAACATAGGTTCCAGATGGTTCCAGTAACATTTAAATGTTGTGGAAGCAAACCAAAAAATCACATCAAACACGCGACAAACATTTGAATTTCATGGGCTGTCTGACTGACATCCTCCCGTAAACTAACATAGTAACATCATCCCGTGTTTTGCTCTTTGGGAGCTTGCTGTGATAGGATATGGACCATTTATAGTCATTTATAGATGATTTAGCTATTAAAATAGTGATTTTCCATAGTTTTTTGGTCATTTATAGTGGATTTACCCATTGAAAATAGTGATTTTCCATATCAAACTGCCAATTTACCCTGGGGTACCTTTCTGCCAAGTTTTGGCGTTCCAAGGTCGCGATTGCTCACTAAGGGTCCGGACAAATGCGCTCAGAAAGTGGGCGAGGAATTTAAGGGGCGGATGGGGCTGTGGCCAACAGGTGATTTACCAACGAAAATGCGGGGTTAACCAACCAAATAATCCAAAATATGGGTTTAACATGTTTTATTCAACGGATACATTATTTAACATATTTTAATCAACACAAACCTGTGTTCAGCGAACAAAAAAATGGATTTAGTCAGTCCACACATCAGGGTGCGGCCAACAAGGCTGAAGTCCAAACAATCCATCCATGGAACCGGGCAAATCTTACTGTAAATCTCAAGGGAACAGAACATTTGTTTTGGATCTTTTTGGCTCTTTTTTGGGGATACTTGAAATGAGTAGTTATGATATATTATTTATATATATATTAGCATAATGCAGTATATATATATATTACTTACGTATATGCTGTGCATATGTATATAGACACATTGTATTATATTATATTATATTTATGCAGTATGTATATATATATATATATTATGCTGTATGTATATATATATATATACATACATATAATATATATATATATATATGCACACGTATATATGAAGTGAACATTTAAATCCAATTGCTTGTATTTCTGACATGTATCCATGGGAACTCCGGTCACCTCAAGTTCTGCGTTGTACGCGTTCCAGGAAGCCACAGAGGTGTGCATTGAAGCGGCAGGGAGGAGGACGGAGGGTGTGGTGAAGGAATCGGCAGATTTGAGCCCTGGCGGAATGGGGCCTCGCAGCTGTGAAGCCAGGCATCGAATCCCAACCCCCCGTGAATAGGGAGTCCAGGGAGACGGCATAGTATGTTTGGAATACGAATTTGGGGGGTAACCCTGGTAACCCCCAATTGATCGTCAGGGTTTACATGGGTTTACTAATCCCAGATTGACATTGCATGCTACAAGGTCCAGCCAGAAAACATTGCCTTTCTTCGCGATCCGCTATGCCTATATTCTGTGGCGTTTTAGCCTAGTATGGATAGTCGGCCCATTTTCATCCACTTCCTATCTTCAATCATTTCTGCGATGATGATACCGCATGACTTATACTTTCAGAGCGGTTAAGCCAAGTCCTTTTATGCTGTTCTTTAATTTAAGCATGTTTGATTGTGGTTTACACATACCCTCAGGTACAAGAGGGTCTGGAATGGTTTGCTTACAGGTCCAAAATTTCAAGGTCTATAATGTTTTTTTGATCAGTTTAGACCTTGGCCCGGGATCACTTAAGACCTTTTGACTATATATAAGTAAGGACTGGTAACACCATGTGAGACCTTTGCCTTTTGGGATCATGTTAGACCTTCGCACCCTCTGGATGGGATCATGTTGGACCTTCGCAGTGAAGGACAGGGAGATTTTCCAGCCAAATCTCCAAAGCTTCAGATTGAATTCGGAAGGGTCAAATGAGTCAAATACCTGGTTCTAGCTGCGACATGCCCAAACATGCAGCAGGGACGTCTACTCTACTTTAATCCACATCATGACAACTATTTCACTTACCTGATGGAATTCACTGCGTCTAAAACGGATTTCCCTAGCCCTTATTGTATCCATTCCCCAGGAAACACCTACGCAATATCAACATAGACCCATCAGATTTGAGGGAAAATTTGACATGAAACCCGATAGAAGGATATATGATAAGATATCCATTTATTTCCGCAAATGTTTTCAGACACTACATGGAACTGAATGAATCTGTTGGACCCCAGAGAAAGGACAACACATTTACCTGATGTAATTCACTGGGTCTAAAATGGTTTTCCCTTGCCCTTATTGCATCCTTTCCCAGGAAAACACCTACGCAATATCAACATAGACCCATCAGAGTTGAGGGAAAATTTGACATGAAACCCGATAGAAGGATATATCATAAGATATCCATATATTTCCACAAATGTTTTCAGAAACTACATGGAACTGAATGAATCTGTTGGACCCCAGGGAAAGGACAAAATATTTACCTGATGGAATTCACTGGGTCTAGAATGAATTTCCCTATCCCTTATCGCATCCTTTCCCCACAAAACACCTACGCAATATCAACATAGACCCATCAGACCCTACCCAGCCCTTCACGAAAGACTCTGCTCAAATACAATCTTATGAAAAAACATATGTTTCACAGATAAATGAATCTTTTGACATGATTCCCAAGGCTCCTTAGCGGCTTCCAACGGATGGGTGATCAAAATGAGGCATGCTAGAAATGATTGGAGAGGTCGCATGGCCAACCACAAATGACACGGGCCCTACAAACCCCCAAGACGCAGAAACTTTGAGACTGTGTTTGTCTTCAAAATGCAGCAGTAAGAAAAAAGACGCCCAAAGTAGAGTAGACGCCCCTACTGAGGAAAAAACAGAGGTTTAATCTGAGGGGGGACATGGGGGGACCAGGGACCAGAGGTCTAAACTGTTCTTAGCCGTTGAGGGTCTAAAGTGTTCCTAGCCAGCTAACATGCTACTGGAAACACCTGCCGAGGCCTGGATCCAGAACCCTAGGGTAGGGTCTGAACACTTAACGAAATCTAACGTTTACTCCCAGGCAAGTCCATCTTAGACCCACCAAAAAAGGTCTACAATGAAAAACCTGAGGTCCCTATGTAGTACCTGAGGGTATGTTTACACCATGTAGTCCCATTAGTTCTCTTTATTTCATGCGACACCCACTTGATGTCAGTCCACTATTTTCCCATGAACTCCCATTCTTTTCCCGTGATCTAAATCTCATCGTTTAACAGTCATTCCATTATTATCCCTTTTGTCCCATTATGTTCCAATTGATTAAAACGGTTATCCTTATCATTATCCCATGAGTTTTTCACACCGCGCGGATTGACTCACACACACACACACGTACAGTTCCCATGATTTTCCGATTTTCCCATGATTTTCCCATGTTTTTCCGATGTTCCTTTGACTTTTCCCATATTTTCCGGTGTTTTTGCAATGATTTTGGGATGATTTCCCATATTTTCCCATGATTTTCCCGTGTTTTTCCCATGATTCCGACCTTGAGATGTCCTGAGGATCTTCCACCTCTTGGTGCTCTGGGCCTCGCTAGGCATCGATCCCAAAGCCATCTTGGACGAGTTGGCGCGAAGAGAAGGGACCAGTGGAGTGCCTTGGCCCTTGGACCCATATCATGGTTAATATTTGGTGAATATTTGGTTAATAGTAATATATGTTGATAATAGCTAGTAATAGCCAATAATGGTTGATAAATGTTGATAGTATGGTTAAAAATATGGCTAATAATATGGTTGAAAATAGTTAAGAATATTGTTGGTTAATAGTATGGTTAATAATGGTCAATATATATGTTAATATAGTATTGGTCAATAATGATATGATGACATGGTTGACTATACACCGCCTTTAGCCTCGCTGAACTGCACCAGATGGCTATGGAGAGAGAGAGAGAGAATGGTTAATTAATAATCGTTAATACTTGTTAATAATATGGTTATTAATATGGCTAATGATATGGTTAAACATGGTTGACAAGATGGTTGATATAATATTAATACGGTTAACACTGTTTAATCAATATAATAATGTGGTGATTAGTGGCTAATATCATTTGTATGAATTGGTTACCGAGTTGGTATAATCAAATTACTGAGGTTATTGATTCATTAATGGTCAATAATTTATCATGGTTAATCATATGGTTAATGATTGGGCTTTATTACAGTAATATGTTGTTCCCCATTTGCACAGATGTTCCCGATATTTTCCCCATAGCAGTAAATTCACAGCCACACCTTGCCAATAAGCGGGGTCGGAAGATTGGTTAACTTACCAGAGGGTAATGTTGTTGAGAATGGTTGACAATATATAATGCTTAATCATATGGTTAGTATGGTTGTTATCCTGTTATATATTAATTAAAAAAAAACACAAGAATTTGTAGTACTGTTTTGTAGTTACAAGCGTTTTATCGCCATGGAATTTTTCATATGATTATTATCGTGTGAACAATAATTGGATTCATAGTGTCATAGTGGATTTATATAATGGGAATATTAACCTACCATACATGGTCAATAATAATACTGTTTTTTCGCAAGAAGAAGATGGGAAGTCAATCATGAATAATACTATCTATAATCATGCATTATGCTGCATAATTATAATAATCCATGGATAGTGGGAAGTCCAAGGACATGTCAAAGTGACATTGCAAGGTGAAAAACTGGTGGCGGCTTCACCGCTGGGTGGCGCTGGGAAATGGCGCGTTTGGAAATGGCGAGCGTGTTGTTTTTCCCTGAGAACTGGGATTTCCCATGGATTTGTTTTACTAATTTTACTATTTGAAACCAGAAATCCATCAGAAGTGCCACTGAATTTTCATCATCCGCTCAAAATCATCGCAGTTTCCGCAGATTTCATCGCCAAAAGGCCCAAGGCCCTCAAGTAATAGTAGGTCAGTAGGTCCAGGTCCTCAAAGTTGAAAGGAATAAAGGCCAAGTTTTACGAGGTCATTGACCTGGAGACTTTTCCCAGGTCGAGGAAAAGGCGTCGCGTCCCAAATGATATGGAAATCTCTGAGTGGTCATGAGCTGTGTGGCCTGCGGCTTGGCACAGTTCCATTACCGTTCCCCTCCGGTGAACGGAGGACCTGTTTGGAATTGTTTGGATATTTCGGGAGCTTTGTTTATCCATTTATCCATACTCGCTAGTGGCCAGGGGAGTCAAGGAACTATGAATTGAGTTTCCAAACTGCGTGTTGTTTTATTGCGTGCTGTATGTTTGGACGACAGTTGCTTCAGGTTATTTCATTTGAGAGGGATATGACATGATATGACGATATTCCATGATATTCCTGGGTTAAGATGTTTCGGAGGAGCATTTTCCCGTTTTTGATATACCCCTAAATGAGGTAGTTACCCCTAAATTCAGTGATTTATCCTCATTGTTCGATTTGTTTGTAGTCGAATTACATTTTTTGTGGTACCCTTTGGTAATTCAACATAGCTATTGAAAATGGCCCATTTATATAGTCGCAACTGTAGTTGATTTACTTATTAAAGGTTGTGATGTTCTATAGCTATGTAAACGTTTTCCAGAGGGTATACCCCATTTTCAGGCAAACCCAGGTGATGCCGACGCCAACTTCCCAGGTCACAGTTTGAAGGACAGCAAGAGCTGCGCGGGAGCGGATGATCCTCAGAGCTTGTGTTATCGAGTGGATAAAACAGGCGTGCATTGCCATTGTTTGGTCCTGGTGTTGATGGTGTTGGATTTGAAACGTCCCTAACCCTGCACCCCAGGGCTGCCTTAGACACCCGTATTTTTGTTGGTTGAAATCATTTTGTTGCTGAAGTACGGATCTTTTTTTTGGCCGGGCACCAGGTGAAATCAACATTTTAGTTGATTAATTAATATATCACGTTTATCCAAGGAATACATGACCTTGGGAAATCCCAAGTTGTGTTGGCTACCATACCAACATTCCATTTATTTGGTTGGGTAGAACAATTAGAAGCACCACGACCACAGCAGGATCCCAGGATGATTCACCAATACTAACTGTAGCGTGAAACGATCAATTTCTGGCTGGAATCAGATGATTCCAATATTTGACAGGAAAATTCCAACTTATGTTACTATGAAACCATGTTCGGCTTAAAACACAAACCCTTAAACAAAAATAATAATTTGAGTTGGATAAGTCGGCTTTTTTGCACAGTAAAGATCCCTGCGCTGATATATGTGTAAAACACAAATGACGTCAAATCATGTTTCCTTTGTCTCCGCGGAAATCTAAATGTGTTTGCTAAATGAGTTAAAACAGGCCTTTTTACAATACCCATATGCTCCATGTAGGATGTATGCTTACTTGCATTTTTGTGATGTCTGAACAAACTTGGGCAATTTCTGGGTGAAATCATTTCAACACACAATTGTTTGCCCAACTTGTTTGCTTAAACAATCCTAACATACTTAGATCAGTTACAGTCTGGTAGTTAAAGCAAGTTAAACATAGTTCCGTTCCTGTAAACGTTTACATGGCTGTAGAAAACCCAGAAAACCCCACCAGAAATGCAGATCATTTTCGGAAAACCATGGATTTTCCTTTGGATTTCCACCAAGCCGCTTACCCGCAAAGGGGGCCCCGGCACGTCCACCGCGCCGAGGTAGTGCCACGTCCACGTCCACGTCCACGTCCGGCACGTCCGGCACCTTGCACCTGGCGCTGCCGCGCTGCGAGGTGGAAGGCAGATCCATGGGAATCCTGTGACGTGTCGCCTTTTTCGCAAGAGAAAATCATGGACTTTGGACCACTGCTCTAATATGGAGATAATATGGAGATAATGCTGTTTGATGTTGAATGTTCAGAAAGGAGATAGATAATCTGCTGATATATGCTGTTTGATGTTGAATGGGTTATATAAATATGGTTGAATATATTTGTTTTCACAGGAGACCATTGGTTCCTATTTTTACTCCCAAATATGGTGGTTTCCTGTGTTCACTTCGGACAAGTCTTGGCAAGATTCATCTCAACATGAAGAGCCCAGTTGCGGCTTGGCCGTGTGGTAATTACCTGAAGAAACATGGAGCAGGTTGAATTCTTGCTGCTCTATTTGTTGAATTCTTGCTGCTCTATTTGTTGAATTCTTGCTGCTCTATTTGAGACATGCATTTGACGGTTCTATATTTTTCTCAGGAGGCTCCAAGGGAAAAGAAGATATTCTACCCCCACATATTTAGCCAAAGACCCAATGGTCTTTGAGATTTAGTGGAATTGAGGGATGGTAATATGTTATATATGATAATCACAATCAACAATAGGAACCCCCAACAAAAAGATACAACGTGAAACAAAGCACCAAACAAACTCATGGGTTTTACCCCCAACTACTGATGTTGTCCTGTTTTGTTTCTATCAAAGATAGGGATGTAAACCAGCCTATCAAAGGTAGGGATATATAGCGACGGACAATCAGTTAGAACGTATTTTGGAAAAATCTGAATATTTCACGCTTTTTGGACGTTCTAAGTGACTATTCGTCTACGTTCTAAGCACCCCACTTAGAACGTTCAAATATCAAGATTCATCACTTAGAACGTACCGGGGAATTTAACACTTAGAATGTGTCTAGGTCAATGACGATAGTGGAAAGGCTTGTGAAATCTTTTATCTCTAAGTGTTGGATTCAGCAGCTAATTCCGTAGGAAGCATAGACATAATTTCGTACCATTTGGCTTTTCCCTCCCGTATGATAAGTTAAGATATTGGTGATAAGTTGATAGACATTGTATAAACATGTTCTAAGACGTTTAATTAAGCATATTGTTTAGACATTGGGTGTTCAAAGGGGGGTAACCGTTTGATTGCGTTGTTGTTTCCCCGAATCTCTTCACGTTTCTATCCCATCTGGGATGATGAATCCGAGTGATATATACATGTCAACCCTGGATGAATACACATCTAATTATGCTGTTTAATTGCGGGGGTATCATTTAAGTATCATATTATAACATATTACTACTATTTGGGGAGTACCCAACTAATTAATTAATAACTCATTGTTTAGTAATCCAAGGTTGACCTTAAGAATGTAAGATATAGAAAGCGAGCCAATCTTCTAGGTAATGGTTGGGTAATTTCATTGCTTCTGTATTGAAAACAACTTGTTTAGCAGGGTATATAGCAATGATCGAATGAATCAGAAAAGATTGCGATTTTGCTTGCAACAAGTTGACTTTTCTTTGCAAATGTTTGAGGATGATTGGGATTTAGGCAAACTTGGGCCAAGTCACTACGTACAAACATGCGACTTGCCGGTTAATAGCTTTTGACTGGGACACACCCTCTGGTAAACTAACATAACTATGGAAAATCACAATTTTTAATGGGTAAATCCTTGTAATTCCACTATTTCTATGGCAATTTTCAATAGCAAACTGTTAGTCATTACCAGGGGGTACTCATTTCATATTTTACTGTGATGTCATTGGGATACCCATGATGACACTGGATCATTGGACCCAAGGTCCAGTCTCAATAGCAGTCCCGTAGCTTCGTTGATTTACCTTCTTTTCTTCGCCATAGTACGATATATATATATATCATTGTGAGAAAATATAATTACAATATATATATATATAATACATATATCATTTTATTTCCGTATGTGCATATATTCATTCTGCAGATTTGTTGAAACATGTGTGTAACATAATGTGTTACTTTATATTTTAATATGATATATAGTAAAATGGATTGTAACAACAAATATATTTAATGTTTATCTGGTCGGTTGGTGATTGCCACATTTAATGTGTTTTGCTTGTACCTGGGCTAATGATTGCACTGGACCTATGGTTTCCAGCAGGCGACTCAAGACGAGAGGAGCCAGGTTCGGCAGCTACCCACGGGCAATTTGGGATCACATTGGGGTCTGCTTCTAGGATTGCTGGTAGAGATACATTTCATTACATTTCTATACCAAAGATGGACCAATTAATTTGGACTAGTGATGACTTGCTAAGTGGGCTAGATTGTTCAAAGAAGTGGGATATGCTGGGATATACAACAAATGCTAGCGAATCGCATCCAGTTGCCAGAAATTGAGTTGCGGTTGCCAAAGAGTTGATGCTTGTCAACTAGGTGGCTCAGAATAGCCCTTTAAATTGATGCAGGCAGCACTTTCTAGATCTTTCCAGTATATGGGAACATATAGGAGCATCATTTCCCAATGCAAATTATTTTGATAGGGTTCATTTATCCTACTTAGGTCCAGTTTGCAGAGCTTATACCATCATGTGGATAAACTATAGCGAGTATAGCCGCCCCACTGCAGCGTCACAAGAAATGATGGTTAGTCCATGAACAGATGAGACTGCCAGAGCGTAGATCCCCATTCTGGCCGCCCATGAAGAAATGAACACTCCAAATATACCTGGCGGTTCAACCCCTTCTTCGTTCAACCGTCATTTTTGGTGGCTCAACCACCATTTGTTTGTGGTTAAACCATGTTAAATCATTATTTATATTACTCCTTGCCGGTTAATCCATGATTTTCTTTGATTAATCCATGATTTTTGTTGGTTTAATCCATGATTTTTGGTTGGTTAATCCACATTTTTTCTTGTTTCACTGGAGGTTTCTCAAGAAGGTCCCCCTGGGGCCAGGCCCAGTGGGCTGGACGCCCCCTGCGCCACGCAGCGCCCGCGCGCGACGGCCGGTGGGGGCGCTGGGCGTGCTGGCGGAAGCGGAAGGCGGCGCCGGCGGGGCCGGCGGGGCAGGGACTGGAGATTATTATTGGTTAATTTGGTTGAGTACAGTAACTAATGGTTAATTAATGGTTCATTAACTAATGGCTAATTTATTACTGGTTGATTAACTAACTAATGGTTCATTAACTAAATGATTAATGGTTCATTAACTAACTAACTAATGGTTAATTATTATATAATGATTAAATGGTTCATCAACTAGCTAATTATTAACATTTGGTTAATGACAATGAATATCATGAATATCACCGACCAATACTTAACCAGTATTAACCATGGTTAACCATCTTCAACCATTCTATAACCATTATCATCATCAACCAAAGGGTATTAACCATGGTTTAACCATAATTATCATAACCAATATTATCAACCATTATTATCAACCATTATTATCAACCATTATTATCATAACCATATACCCTCTGGTAATTTAACAGTTTGCTATTGAACATGGCCATAGAAATAGTGGATTTGCCCATTGAAGATGGTGATTTTCCATAGTTATGTAAACGTTTACCAGAGGGTACTGTATATCACCTATGGTTAATCATGTAATATACGGTTAATGAGGTATATGGTCTATTCTGAAATGATGGTGAATGGGTTTATATATATAACCATATCATTCATGTAATAGATTAATAACGATATTCACCATATGATTAACCATTAAGTATTGTCAACCATTGTCAACGCACATGATCTATTTGGGTAAATTAGCAGTACCCTGCAAACAACACATTTTTATCTAGTGGAAACTCATTTTTCAACCCCGATGAATAACAATGACAGGGTCTACGTTAATTTACCGGAGGGTATCTATCTGGGTAAATGATAGTAACCTCACTGCAACCTCACTGGAATGATGGTTAGTAAGTGATAATCATCCCTAAGGGGCCTTATTGAAGGATTGTTAGGGGGGTTCAATAAATGGAATAGTAAATAGCTGGATGGTTTATTCATGTTTATTCCATGGAAAATCAATCTTTTTAAATGGTGTTTTAGGAGTAGCTCCACTCAGGAAACCTCCATGTATATCTTCAAATAGCAATTTTCGTAGGGAAACTGGTAACCAATGGATGGTTCCTCAGTGACGTACGGTGATTTCACCAAGACTTCTGGGCGATGTACGGTGATGAAAGTGGTGCTTCTAAGAATGGATTACCTCACGTCAATCCCATTTGTTCTTAAGGTTGGGTGTAGCAATATGATCTCGGTCATCTGTTTGATTGGTTTTGAGTTGGGTGAGATGGACAAATTGCAGAGTTTGCTGGCAAAAATCCGGGTCTTCACCGTACATTCTCCCAACATCTCTCAACAAGATCAAGCCATTGAAATCCACATATGCTTCCCCATCATATTTCCATATATTAAACTCATATTACATCATATTAACCATCATTTTGTAATTTTTACACCCCCCATCATGATAAACCCAATCCATGGTAGACTCGACTCGCAAGGACCTGACGGCTTGGGATTGGAACACTCCAGCTGAGACGTGCTGCTGAAAAAAAGAAGTTTCGGAGGGGAGATCGCCGAGGGGATTTTCCCATTTCGATCTGAAGAAGTTTCTGTTTCTGTTCATTGGATGAAATATTATGAAATATTGATAACCTCCACGAAATTATGAAATTATGTATTACTCAATAATCTTCAAAATGCAATTAAATTATATACATCAATTATCATTGCTTTGGATTGCTTTGGTATTTTAAAACCTTATCCACTAGAATTTGATCGAAATCCATTGGCAAACCTATATGGATTTGAACATCAAAGAACAGGCCTTCCTTTGTTTACAGGATCGTACAAGGAAAGTCATGTACTCACGGATGTCAATGTGTTCTGGTTCTGGCCATGTTTAATTTTAAAAACCGGATGGATTGCTTTGAATTGAATTTTCCAGTTTGGGGTATCCTAGGCTAGGCCACACGGCGGGGAAAAAAAAAGGGTGCTGTTCGAGTCTAAGAAAACGAAAACAAGAAACCCGGACCTATATGGAGGATTGATAGGATGGCGTATGGCTTAATGCCAAAAGAAATGTTTTAAACCTGCTGTCCAGTTTTGTTTCCTTTCAGCTGATTGAAACCCCAAGGCGCGCTAGGCAGCTTCCGATGGGTTTTCCGTCATCCTTGCCGTCCCCGCAGTGGTTCAAGTGAATGTTGAGTTGCAAATTCCGTGTGTATGATCTGATGGCGGTGCCTTGTTGTGATTGGCGGAGAGGGGGGCGGATTCAAAGCGGCATGTCGAAATTGTGGTTTGATGAAACCCGCGTAAATGCACGAAACGAGTCTGAAGATCAGTTGAATCAAGTCCTTCCCGGTCCTCTTTATCAAAAAATCACATAGTATCAAATAGCCCTCTAGAAACCCATAGAAACCCTGTTTTTTCAAGTTTTTCATATTGGCGGTGTTTATTGTGGCCCATATGTGAGGTATTTGGGCGATCGTCCTTGAAGCCTTTTTTGGCAACCCATTTACGATGATTCAGCTGAAGAATTGTTGGCCCATCCCATTTGGAAACATGGTTTTTGGTTTTTGGTTTCAAAATTTGTATCCTTTGTATTCCAGACTGTCTCCCATCCTACCCGCAGTCCTCATCCTCATTCCCAGCTGACTCCCCCACGCCATCCTTAAGTAAACCTTCACCACCCTTAAGCGCCCATATCACGCCAGGCATCATCTCGGTGGTACCTTTCATGTTGTTTGGTTGCGTACCTTTCTGCCGCAAAACCTGTGGAAGTTCTTGTGGATGCCACTGGACAATTTGAGCCAGGCCTGACGGGTGGGGACTGGTGAGTTTTTTGGGTGTATATATATAATATATTTATATACAGATATCATCTATTGTGTGTAGTGTCATGAATGCATATTATATGATATTATATGCGTGTGTATTTTATTTGACTGTGTAGTTTGGACGTTTGTTGTTCAGATTCATGGGTGTTTATTGCCACATATTGCCACGAGTGAGTTTGCGATCCACAGATGTTGGCTGACTAACCGGGCTTCTTTTTGTGACTTCCTAAACTTGCAGGATTGCATTCATGTGTCCTTGGTTGATGAGGATTTCCCCATTGCTGTGGTGTGGCAAAAGCCCAAGTGTTGGCATTCCCCAGCGATTAACGCATTAAAGCAGGACCAGCTTCTCAGTTTGAAGAGACCAGGATGTGGCACGAATCCGAAAAGATCAAAAAGCCAGCTACTTCTATACGTGGTCACAATATCTAGACCCTCCAAGTATGCCGAAAACTTGGAAATGCAACGGCTAGCGTGCCATTATCCAATACCTTTGTATGACCGGTGGAAGTGATATGATGCCTATTCTATACCCGGATGTTTGGATCTTCCATGTCCAACAAGCAAACAACCTTCCAAGCCTAAGCCAAGGCATGCCAAGGCTTTTGGATTTGTTTAGAGTGTTCTGTATGAGCAAATCTGAACCCATCTGAACCCCGACCCTGTAGGTTTCCCATGAGTGGACTGGTTATATAAATAGTAAACCTGTCAAAAGAACGTAAATTTGGTTGAATTGTTGTTTCAGACCACTAAAATCTGGTTTGGTAATACATACGAGACATAAGCTGGTGATAACATCTCATAAACATCTTATAACTAGGTAAGGAACACACACACATATATATATACATATTTATTTAATATGATACAACTGGGGGGCACCACCCGGTGTATATGCATATATATATATACACATGCATATATATATATGCATATATGTATGATGCATATTCAATATGTAACTAGCCAGCTACAATTTTGGGCAATTTGTTATGGCAGAGTGTTTAAGGTTCGCCATGCTAAGGTTATCCGCTATTTCTTCCCCAAAAAAGCACCCACTCTTCGACAGGTGGCGTCGGACCGGAGTTGCAGGTGGTGCCAGCTTCCCTTGTTGCCCAAGAAATGATGGAGGGATTGGAATGCCCTGTGTCTTGGTGCAGGAATGGTGTAGGATCCAGGGCACCCCATGGGGAAAAAGAAACGACCTGGCCGAAGATTTTTCCATACCAGTGATGGTTAGTGACTTAGTGGGTGGGATTATCAAAGACATTGCCTTGTTAACAGCCTGTTTGCCTATTTCATGTTGTTTCTGATTCGTGATGTATAGGTGCCCAGATCCAGTGGCCCAAAAGGTTGGGAGATGGTTTGCTTTCAAACCAGTTGAATTTCTTTCGGAGGATAGAATTTCTTGTGGTTTCTGTTTTCACCATCCGAGTGTGCCAGGGATAGCTGCAGTGCGCCAACAACGGGGATTTATGCAACACACACAACAAAAGTACTCAAGTATGTTCAAGCATAGCAACCAGGTTTAGTTCTAGCAACACAAGTTCAAGTATAGTAACACAGTAATCCTCAAAAAGATAGAACAGTGAATTGTCACTATTTTTTAAAAAAATGTGTATCTTTTTGGGGTGTTAAGAAAAAAGTCACAAGCAGTTATAGGCTAGTTATAGGATGTTATAGGTATATGCGTATATAATCGTGTAAATGAAAATAATATATATATACATATGTGTGCTCACAGAACAGATATCATGCTTGCTTTAAGGACGAGTTTCTCAATTCTCGATTGAGGGGTGGTAGCAACTCGAACTCCAGGAATCCTCAATGCTCAAGAGACTTTGGCAGGGAAAGCCATGAAAAGCGCCTGTCCCAACAACCAATCCGCTTTGTTCTAAAATCATCATGCAAAATTTTAAAGTAAAAATCCCTTCCCCCCGTAATAGAAGAATAAGCACTACACACCAATCAAAATCCTTCTATACTTTATTGGATTTGTTCTTTTTGGCCTGGGGGGAAATTCATAGTGCATATGGTCACTCATGGTCACTCGCAATCATGATATCCCAGAACTGAGGTCAGTGATCAAGTGGCACTGGGGACCGCCTGCCAATGTGGTGGCACTAAATGCGAAAAGTCGATGCTTGGCCATTGCTTGGACGACTTGAGGCCTGATCCAGTAGGAATTACAATGACCATCAATGACTTACATAATCTTACATATACACTTATGATACCAACATATATCAACTCGTTGGTGGCTTCGATGTCAGAATGATTCGGCATGTGTTATTTTCACCCCTGGGCTATTCGGGATGATCCAATGAAAGATATGGAGGCAACAACCACACGGGTAAAGGATTTGTAAACAGATATCACCTGCCACTATCACTATCACTGGGAGTAGCGTTGTATCGTTGGGCGTCATTCACTCCGACTATATTAGTAATTGAAAGTTCATGGGGGTTGGGGTGAAATGGTTGCCCGATTTCAAAGTAGTGTTTGGAGCCCATCACCCAGAGCGAAACAAGAAGAAACACTGGGGGAACCGCTGTGTTGAGCCTTCAGAATCTCATATACGGGCTCTAAGATTTGCCAAACTAGAGCGGCAAAAAAAAGGTTGTTCACTTGGCTTGCTGGAAATTTACTTCAAATCATTATCCATCATTATCCTATATTTTCCCACTCAGGATTGGAATTGTCCATTGCCATGTTCCGATTACCGGAGGGCAAACCAGATATCGCACAGCCATCATTGTTCATTTTTTGCTTACGGCTATACTCTACTATGATATCTATATATGCGTTTTGTATTGACACATGTTACACGGTTTTCAGTTTTCAGGTTCCTTTGGTGATTTGGAGGTTTCCGTCCAGTCATGGTACACTTAGTCATCCAGCCATGTTCATAGGATTCCCATGAAACAAACCATCCAGCGATTGGGGTATCCCCATGACGACATGGAACCCCCCATCTGTTCAAGCCAAGGAGCTTCTGCTATGCCTCCTGACACTGGCGATTTCGAGAGAGATGGGAAGTGGTTGAGAAACCCTATGTTTTATCAGTTCGGGACTATAACATACTATAACATAATATAACTTGACACTGTCAACACATGGGACGGCGATGGAGAGAGTTAACATACATCCTAGAACCAGTACTACCCTGTTTGGTGGTCTCAAATGTTGCTGGTGAAAAAATGTAGAACGGGGTTTGATGATCCGCAATGACATGACCATATAGGGGTTTCCATAAATGGAGGTACGCCCAAATGGATGGTTTATCAATGTTTATCACATTTTATAATGGAAAATCCTATTAAAATGGATGATTTGGAGGTACCCCTATTTCAGGAACCCTCGATATATATGTCACGGCTTGAATTTAGCGGGGAATAGCTAGGGATCAAAACGAGACACCTCTAATGGGCTAGAGATGACCATTTTGGCCACACAAAATGTCGGGGCGTTGACCCGCAATCCGATACCCATATTAATATAGGATTACGAGCTATGAAATAACATCGACCAGATGGTATCAGATGGTCTGAATATGTCTTAATCATTCGTGACTATCAGGCATCGAAACCATTTAAGTTATAAACAATTCTTGACAACATTTACAACAGTTATCACCCAGCATATCACACAGAAAGATGAGATAAACACCATTTGCACACGCAAGGCGGGCAAATCTTTGGGTCCCACGTTGCGAGGCCTTGGAAGAAGATGGAACGCCTAGCTGTGAGGAGATGTCCAGGTGTGGAACTGCGGATGACCTACATTGACCATGGGATATAGATGGGCTGTTTATGGTTGTTTCAGCAACAACTGCTTGGTGGTTTCAAATATCTTTGTTTTCTCGAACCCAAGCTATGATGCTTCCAACTGACTCCTATAGGATGGAGGTTTCAACTGGCACTAAGCCACGGGAAGCGAAACTGGACTGTTTATTTGAAAATTCCCCCCTGAAACAAATTGAAACAACTGCAAGAAGATGAAACTCTTAAGAAAGGGTTTATCATGTTTTTTCCGTGCGGGCGAGTTATCATTACCCCTATATGGCCACCACCCCACAAAAATATCATTGTTTCAAAAAGACGTACCCCGAAATCATTCTCGCAAAGTTCAATGGTTGGTGAGTTCTTACATTGGCTCTGGTTCCATAAGCTGTGTTCAGAGTTGATAGATAGAACCAGTCAACATGAGTCAATCATGGAGATCTACAACTAGCCGCAACCTAGCCAACAATGCTCGCCTTGCCAACAAATGTGGTCAAGTCATTCGGTGCCCCAGAATCCTGAAGATAAATTCCTTCGATCAAACATGGCAATGGGAAATCTTTTGTACATGGACATCTAGCATGGAACATCACTTTTCAATAATTAGGGGAAAAATTGTCCATTGCCATGTCTGATTAGGGTCAAGGCCTAGGAGGCCATGGGAGCAGCTCCTGTTCTTTCAGAACATTGATTCCTGAGGAACTCTGAGGGACATGTGTTTAATCCCATGCCTACCAACTATCTTCAATGTTGCCATTAAAACCCCATTAATGCCAATGTTGTCTTTCGATTAAGACCCAATTGTACTGCTAAATGTGGTTAGTGTATGTTAGTTTTTCCATCATGCAAGAAGTCCAAAATCTTTCCAATCCAGCAGATGCTAATCCCATTTGATATCGTAGAAATTCCGGGGTGGCCCAACCACAGATCCCAGAATAATAGGAAGATGTTGAGATCTAGATAAATCAATTCCATTTGATGTTTAAAAACGTACACAATTTTCCGGTAGATTTTCCAGTGAACCAATCCACCGAAACTTGGTTTGTACCATTTAACCCGAGCATGGACACCAATTACGGTACGGTAAAATCCAATTGACACACTATCAAACCTGTTCAAACCAAATTAAACCAATCAAGATGCATATAGAGCCCCTTGAGACCAAAAAAACATTTAGTTATATAAAACTTCTTAACACTCACGGTCAGCCAGCCTTAAAGCCTCTCAACACCTCTTACAAGCCAATTAAAACAGCTTAAGACCACTAAAATCAAATGATATCCCACTAATTCACCACTTTCTCTGGCAAAAAATGCGCTTTTCAATTCCCTTCGGAGGCAAGATCCCTCTCTACTGGACCTCTATGGCATTAGCAAAAATGGGCCAGGGGATGGCAAGGACGCTGGTGCCATCAACGGACGCGAGACGCTCGGATGCTGATATGATGGGGGTCTACAAATGGGGCATCATGGGAACATTAGTTTCATAAATGATTAATTAATGGCGATATTATTCATGATTAATATTAATGATCAAATGATTAGTGACATCATGGAAAATTTAATAACTAGTCGAAGTTCTCTGCTAGTTCATGATCTCTGTTAGTTGCCAACAAGTTTCATACTCGCAGTTGCACATATATAAGGGGGAGTTTTGGGCACAAGTTTCAAACTCTGTTAAGTTTTTTAACTTAACTTTGTGGCACGGGTCAAGTTAAGTTGTACCATGTGTTGGAGGGGATGAACCTCCAAATAGAAACCAAGTTGTGGTCTATAGGGCGCCAGGGTTTTGAACCATAGCAGACACGCCCACGCAGCGGTGCCGTCGTGTGCCGCGCGAGCATCCTCGAGCAGGCTTCGTCCCCCATGTTGGGCCGCCACCCACACCCCGGTCCCCGCCGGGACTTGAGGCGGCTCAACGTGGCGTCACGCCACATCGGGAGATGCTGCGCTACGCCACGCTAGTCAGCCCCTTGACGCGCGCCCGCGCTCCTGCACACAGCGCCCACGCCAGGAACGGCGCAGCGCTGGCCGCCGTCAGCGCAGTAGCGCTTACCCGAGCTCCTCCAACCGAGGCCGGAGAGTGCCTCCTCGTCCTCGCGGCCGAGCTGGGCGGCCGATGGCATGCCGATTGCCATGAGCTTATCCGGCTGCTCGTTGCCGCAGCCGCCGCCGGCTGGCGCCCGCGCACTAGGCGGCGAGTGGCTGGCTCCTCCTGCCTTGACCCCACCGAGCGGGCCGAGCCGAATGCCAATGCGCATTCCAGGCTCCACTGACACCCGAGACTGGTTGTGCGCCGGAAGAAAAAATGTGAACCATCCTTTTCCCCATTTTGTGGCTTTGAGGCTTTGAGATGCTGTACATTCCGGGGTACGCGCCATTACAATGGAGAAAACCATCGAGATTTCATGATGGCCCGGTCTTACTCTGCTTTACGGTGGTTTGCACAGAGGAGTGGTTGACACAAGTTGCACATGGTCACATGGTCGTATATGTTGTATTGACTGCACACTCATTCTATAAAGATATTTGCGTGGTGTTTTTCTGCTGTTCTATGGGGATCTTTGATTTGTGCTCATCACAGTAGTGACGGCGAGCAAGTTGGGGGATAGCCCAACATTATTTGTTTTCTCCGAGGAAATCAGTGCTTCAAAACCCATGTTGATGGTTAATGGGTGCTATACAATCAAAGATGTTGTGGTTTATCACAATCCATTTAGGGACACCCTATTCACATCTGTTCACCATCTATCCTCATCTTGCGAGTCTTGCGATGCACAGTGTCACAATGATTCGACCACAGCCCAGGTTGAAATTCTATAAGAAATCGGCTACTGGATTGCAGTTTTTGAAGCTTTGCGGGTTACGGTCAGCTCATACACATACTGACCAATCGAGGTGCGGATTGTCCCACACACCTTCTGAGTTTAACTCGGAAAGCAACAGCGGCTCTATCCAATAGAACAACAAATTTCCAAATTCAATTTTTGAGGGCCATTGGTTAAATATAAATATATATATATATATAATTATATATATATACACATATTATATATAATATATATACATATATATTTATTTATTGCACCTGTACCCAAACAGCAATTGACATATGATCAAAGGAAGTTTAGTTAGAAAACTTCCGTGTCATGGGCAGCATTCTCACCATCATGTCAACCAGATCATCATGTCAGACACATCATCATCAAGTAGTGTAACAGGTCTGGAAGGTGTAAATTCAGGCTTGAAAACACTCTCGGGCGCGAAACCCTGTGTTTTTTCGGGTAAAGTGGCTTCCGTGGTCGCCGAAGTAGGGTCTCTGTTTTTGCGGTTGCGGGCCTCCATCTGCAAAAGTTGCTGACGAAAAGTGCCCAGGACTGTAGCGAGAGCTCGCTTTGCACTTGAACATGTTAAAAAAGTTGGACGGTTCGGAGCACTTTTGGAAGATGAAGTCGGCAAAATGTGTACGAGACTTTAGTGAGAGCTCGATTTCACATAAAAAACGTTAAAAAAAAACGGCGGTCTCGGAGCACTTTTGGAAGATGCGGTCAGCAAAAAATGTGCACGAAACTGTAGCGAGAGCTTGGTTTCACATAAAATTCGTAAAAAACTGAGGGTCTCAGACAAAGCACCTTTGGAAGATGAGTCGTCAAATTTCATTGATTCATTGGTTCATTCACTCATTCATTCCCAGTCAGTCCAAAGGACGAGTTTAACGCGGCCGTTAGAGTAAAGGACCGAAATGACTAAAGGCTTCAAAAAACTCATACAATTGAAAAAAAATCCGCACCGTAAGATCAGCAGCAGCCACATAGAGCGGGAGCACTTCTGAGGAAAATTGGTCACAAAATCGGAAAACCATTCTTTCTGCAATTTTTGCACAAACCTGATTTTGCGGGTTTTTCACGGCCTTTTCTCGGGGTTTGCGCTTAGCTCTTCATGACCTTTTCACGATTTTTTCACGGTGTCACTATTTTCGCAAATCTCGAAGTTGCGCCCTCAAATTTTCAAGCATTGGACATCTTTGGGGATGGGACCTTGCTCGGCCAATTAAGTTTCACACAAATACGCCCTCAAAAATTATCACACAGAGAAAACCTCAGTCCTAAAGGCCTAGTTTAACCAGGCCTTTGGCAAAGGCCTAGTTTAGCGAGGACTTGGACCGACAGGCATTGATTGATTCATTCATTCTTTCATTCCTTCATGCATGCATGCATGCATGCATTCATTCCGTCATGCATGCATGCAATCATGCATTCATGCAATCATTCATTCATGCATTCATTCTTTTTTCCTTTCATTCATTCATCAGTTTTTGTTTCGTTCAGTCATTCAATCGCTCCTTTCACTCATTCAATCGCTCATTACACTCATTCAATCACTCATTTCACTCATTCAATGACTCATTTCACTCATTCACTCATTCATTCATTCATTCATTCATTCATTCAGTCAGTCAGTCAGTCAGTCAGTTAGTCACTCATTCAGTCAGTCATTCATTCAGTCACTCGTTCTTTCATGCAAAAAACAAATAATGGAATCATTCATGCATGCATTAATGCATTCATGCATGCATGCATGCATTGATTCGCTCATTCAGTCATTCGTTCATTTGTTCGTTCATTCATTCATTCATTCATTCATTCATTCATTCACTCACTCATTCATTCACTCATTGCGCTCATTCAATCACTCATGCCATTCATGTCATTCATGTCATTCATGTCATTCATGTCACTCACTCATTCATTCATTCATTCATTCATTCATTCATTCATTCATTCATTCATTCATTCATTCATCAATGCATGCATGCATTCATTCATTCAGTCAGTCAGTCATTCAGTCATTCATTCATTCATTCAGTCAGTCAGTCAGTCAGTCAAACAGTCACCCATTTCATTCATTCAATCATTCATTGCGCACATTCAATCACTCATGTCATTATGTCCTTTATGTCCTTTATGTCATTCTTTCATTCATTCATTCATTCCTTCATTCATTCATTCATCCATTCATTCATTCATTCATTCATTCATGCATTCATTCTTTCAGTCATTCAGTCATTCATTCATTCATTCATTCATTCACTCATTCACTCATTCACTCATTCACTCATTCACTCATTCATTCAGTCACTCATTCATTCATTCATTCGTTTGTTCGTTCGTTCATTCATTCATTCATTCATTCATTCAGTCAGTCACTCATTTCATTCATTCAATCGCTCATTTCGCTCATTCAATCACTCATGTCATGTCATGTCATGTCATGTCATGTCATGTCATGTCATGTCATGTCATGTCATTCCTTCCTTCCTTCCTTCCATTCATTCATTCATTCAGTCAGTCAGTCAGTCAGTTTGTCAGTCAGTCAGTCACTCATTTCATTCATTCCATCACTCATTGCGCTCATTCAATCACTCATGTCATGTCATGTCATGGCATGTCATGTCATGTCATGTCATGCCATGTCATGTCATGTCATGTCATTTAATGATTCATTGATTCATTGCAATTGATTCATTGATTCATTGATTCATCGATTCATTGATTCATTGAATCATTGATTCATTGATTCATTGATTCATTGATTCATTGGTTCATTGGTTCATTGGTTCATTGATTCATTGATTCATTGATTCATTGATTCATTCATTCATTCATTCGTTCGTTCGTTCATTCATTCATTCCTTCATTCATTCATTCATTCATTCAATCAATCAATCAACCAATCACATTTACGCATTCATTCATGTAATTTTCGTTTTATTTCGTTCATTCATTCATTCATTCATTCATTCGTTCATTCGTTCATTCGTTCATTCGTTCATTCGTTCATTCGTTCATTCATTCATTCATTCATTCATTCATTCATTCATGCATTCATGCATTCATGCATTCATGCATTCATGCATTCATGCATTCATGTATTCATGCATTCATGCATTTCAATTCAAGTCGGTGCAATCATCTATTTTATTCAATGCATTCATTTCAATTAATTTCTTTCCAGCTCACCAACAATTCCTATAAGCAAACTGGTTCCTATAGTCATGTTCTTTTTTTGTTGAAACTTCCGCCCCGGCGCGTGCCGGGCACTGCCTGGTATTGGATAGAAGTTGTAGGTCCTAGGTTTCCCTGCGCTTTAGTACTGCATGGGTTTGCTGGGCCGTCAACGTGCCTACGCGCAATATCAGCATTATGCAAGCATGAATAAACGCAGTAGCTCTGTCACCAACAATCATTATACATATTGAGATGTTAAAGCTTTTCTGATTTTTCTGCGATCTTGATCTTCCGAATGTTTCAAAATGCTCACGGATGTACAAACAATTGCCTTACTGAGGCAAACAGCGGCCTCAGGTTCTTCTATTCTGAGACTTGGCGGTCAACCGGGTGGCTGTTGATTGGGAGGATGCCAGTTCAAAGTATTGCAACATATTGAATATGTAGAACACCCATCACAATTCGAGGGTTGGCCCCGCTCCATCAGTTGGCCATTTCAAGAGGTGACGTTGTTGAGACTACTATCCGCCGGCCAATGTAAGTAATGACAGTTGCATGGGAAAACGACAAAAACCATTTTCAAATGGTTGTTTGAGAAGAGATAAGATGGCTGATAAATAGTGATGGCTATAGAGTATTTTACTTTCAAGGTGCCAACGCATGAGGCAACATGAAGAAAACATAATATGTTTAGCAATGTTTTGCTGAGTGCTTTCTTACGCACAGCATGCCGGGTCTAGAGAACCCACACATATTTCTGACCGTCTGACCTGCAAAACCTGTGAAAACAGTTCTGATGTGAGGATGACAACTGTTTTTTACTCAGTACTGTAGCTTATGATGCCACATGATGGCACTCCGACTCCCTGGGCACCCACAAGAATCCATCAAATAACGTGACTCTACGAAGCAGCAAGTTGTAGGGGGATTTCCCTTTTTTATACAGTACTTCAGGAGTTGCTGGTGATTTGCAATGGAAAGGGTGATCGGAAGCCGGGAAGCCAGAGTCGGGGGAATTAATAATGATGAATTCAGCTTGAGTCAGTGAATCAAGTGAAGGGATGGACTCCTTGGTATAGGCGGGTTGATTGTAATTCATGTGTTGCTGGAGTGACTGGACACATGTGTATTATCATGACATGGGTTGGGGTGCGCATTTAGTCAGGCACTGCTTGACAGAGTCTCAGTGTGCCAACGGAATTGAAGATGAGAACGCGGCAGCCGGCGCTAGCGACATGTACTGAGATTCTCTAAATAGATTTGCATACAGTATCCCTGGACAATTGATTCAAATGAACCCAGATATTCCACCCCAGCTTCCCAGGACAATTTCCGCGTCTATGGTTCGCATTCTGCATCCCGCCCCTTTGGCTGCACCTTTCACTGCCGGAGCACAGCACTTTCCGCCGGCTCCGCCGATTCGATAAAGTATAGGGGGTTATGGGTTCTTCGTCCTTTCAATCGGTTGCATGCTTGTTCTGGGCGATGCTTGGGGAACATCTTTCAAGTCAAAATGAATACATACATATAATATATATATATATTATACATAATATATACAACTGGATAATCCACCTATGCAAAATTATCGCTCGAAATACGGAACAGCAATAATTGTCGCCGTTTGCCTAAAATCTCGCCGTTTCCAGTTTTTTTTCCGCCGTTTCAGTCTTCACAGTTTGGGTTCTTGATTTTTGTTGCCGTTTCGTCGGATTTTTTCGCTGTTTCGTTGGGGGTTTTCGGCGTTTCAACACCGGCAAACACGTGCAAAGGCAGAAAAATACAAAACCTTCTCACAGGCAGCAAAGCATGTCGCCAGCAACAATTCCTGAAAAGGCAATGGTTTTACATAATTACCTTGGAAGATGCATGTATATTGAATATATATATTATATATATATTGTGTATAACGAATAGGAATTAAATGAGCTAAACTATTTAGATGCTAGCTTTGGAGCTGAACATCGACCAAGTGACCAAGTAAACATAAGTAGACCAAATTTTGGGACACATGCTTATCATTTTGCCGCAAAGTCTTTGGGCAAGAATCTTCCGGGCGGCTGCGTTCTAGGTGGCTGCTTTCGCATTGTCAATTTCCACACAAATTGTGCAATGTTGGGATGTCATACATTGGGGTGCCCACCATCCTTGGACAAACCCAAATCAGATAGCTGGTTATACATCCACTTTTTTTTCGCATTGTATCCATACTGTGGTCGGTTTAACTTTGTTGAACCCCTGAGCCCCCATTATGGATACCTGTCACGACTTAAGAGGTCAAATATGTTTTTTATATATATATATTTCAATATTCCTTCCCATGATGTTCCCTATGTGATTTGCCATTTTTATTACGATCACATTTCTGCAGCCGGCTTGTTCCTTCAAGTTCCTTCATTGTTTTGGTGATCTTCCAGAGGGTTACATCCGGTGACGGTTGGAAGTTTCCACACTAAAGTTTACAGGTTTCACCTATCCAGGAATAGAAATATAGATGTTTATGGGCGGGCAAAAGCAAACACATATGGGTGTACATTGAGGATTCATTGGGAATAGGATGGAATTGGACTAACTGTCAGTGACTAGCCATGACTAGCGCAAGTGCATGTTAGATCTAGATTGTAGGAAGCCCACCTATTCGCCTCACTGCCTGCCTGCCTGTTTGTTTGCATCTAGCGACCTAGTGATAAAACGGACAAAGCACCATGGTCAACCCCAGAGAACCACATAATTTGATGCTTCCATGTGCATTGATGTTGCCTTTGGTTTGGTCTCAAAGAATATAGGTCGTGCGGTCCTGTTGCAAGTTGCAAGTGGCTCAGTCAAGATCCTCCAAGTTTGGTATGTATGCAATCCCATTATATAGCTTGAAAGCCAAACACGCACATCCAAGAACTGGTCATATACTAAACTTTCAGATAGTTATCTTTATATAGTACCAGTTCTGCTTCAAATGCATCCGTGGCATATGTGAGCGTCTTTTGGGTTATAATCATTACACATTTATGATGCGTAGCCTAAGGTGATCTAAATGAGTCTAAATGATCTGCTATGGGTAAAGCATGTGGTAAAAGAATAGTAAGCCAATACCCAAATCACGATAAATAGGTAATATAAACCATCAAAATATGGCTGGTTTATCATTGTTTTACCCACATTACTGCAAGGTGATCTAAGATGATCTGAAATCAGATAGCGCATGAGGGCGATGCACCGAGGTTGGGAACTGAAAATCGATGGAGCGACGTGTCCCAGTGGGAAAATGGCGCAAGATCTCCACGTCCAGCCCGGGATGAATCCCCATCGTGGCATGCCAGAAATTTACGGAGTCAGGGGCATGACTCCTGCAATTTTCGGGGTGAACCTACGAATTGAAGCATATATCTATATGCAAGCATGTATGTATGTATGTATATATATATGGTGGTTGATCTAAAGGTCCTTGTAAGGAGTTTTAATTGCGAAAGCCGTGCATGTTGTGTTGGAAACCCTCGCGAAAGTTTTTCTTCGAGCTCGCGAAAGAGAATTTCTTATTCGCGAAGGTTTCGCGAAAGTTGGATATTATGAATCATGATAATTATCATTGCATACATTGCAGCTTGTTCAGGGCTACCACCTCCTGCCCCCCGGGGGCCCGGGGTCCGGCAGGAGAATGGTACCGCACATTTACCTATCCCTTCATAGATAGCAACCAAGCTTCCGAAGGTGAGGCTTCGCCACAGCCAAATACCATGGTCTTGAAGCACATCCTTGCACCTGCCGCTGGTACTGCCTAGCGTTGCTTTCTGAAGTTTCAAGAAACAAGCTCCAAACGCAGCAACCAAGCTTCCAAAAATGAGGTTTTGCGAGAGCCAAACACCAAGGCCCCTGGTGTTTGCGGTTCCTCTGATGCGCCCCCTGCTGATGGCTGGGGTCCGCGGATAGGGGTATTTTTTGCGAAAGTTCCGCGAAAGTTCTGCGAAGGACTGGGCGAAAGTCAAAATGCATTTTGAAGGGAGTGGCCCAGTAAGCCTTGCAAAAAAAAATCGCCTAATCAATAACAACCTGTCGTGAGAAGGGGATTCCGTGATGCTGGCTGCATGCTTACAAGGCTATGAAGAAGTTATCCCTGATAATTTTGTGTGATTTGGCGGATGCTGAATGAATCTTCATAAGAGGAGTTGTTGCTCAACATGGGTTCCGCGGAAGACAAACATGGAGTTCGCGAAAGATTTGCGAAAGATAATTTTTTATTCGCGAAGAATGGCCGTTCCCGGATTCAGGAATTTTGATCAACCACCAAATATATATATGCACAGTTGATTCACATTGCATATCCATGTTTATAGTTTTTGGTGCTATATCAAAATAACATAAAAGTTTGTATTTAGACTTATCTACGATGTTTTGTTTTTCATATACGTTTTATATATATAGATACGTAAATATTCATCTGCAAACATATATGCAAACATGATTTATGTACATATATATATATATGTGCCTATGTGTGTGTGTATATATATATATAGGTATGTGCGCATTTGTTCCCCACATCTTTGTGTGGGGTTCTTGTTTTTGATTCTGTATCCCGGCCCCGCCCCCTCCCGGTCACACACTCTTTTCACACACAACTTTGTCACACAACACACTCCCTTTATCTCTCTTTCACTCACAACTTTGCCACACACACAACTTAGTCACACAACTTTGTCACACACACACTCTCTTTGACACACAACTTTGTCACATACCGTCTTTTGCACACAACTTTGTCACACACCCTCTTTCACACACAACTTTGTCACACACACTCTTTCACACACAACTTTGTCACACACGATCTTTCCTCAAAAACAGCTTTGTCACACACCATCTTTCACACACACAACTTTGTCACACAGTCTCTTTCACACACAACTTTGTCACAGACCATCTTTCACACACAACTGCACTTCACGACATCCACCTTCACTTTGCGTGGCAGGCGTGGCACTTCACGACATCCACCTTCATTTTGCGTGGGAGGAGTGGCACTTACGGCACTGGGCCTGGCTCTGGTGGCGTGCTTCGCCGCGGCGCAGGCGTGGCACTTGGCGACATCCACCTTCACTTTGCGTGGCAGGCGTGGCAGTTGGCGACATCCACCTACGTTTTGCGTGGCAGGCGTGGCACTTCGGGCACTGGGCTGGCTCCAATGGCGCGCTTGGGCGCCGTTGGTCGCGCGGTGAAGCCGCGGCACTTTGCGTGGCAGGCGTGGCACTTGGCGACATCCACCTTCACTTTGCGTGGCAGGCGTGGCACTTGGCGACATTCACCTTCACTTTGCGTGGCAGGTGTGGCAACCTTCGTTTTGCGTGGCAAGTGTGGCACTTTGTGACATCGACGCGAACAGACAAACTTCCACACAGACCTCGTTCACACACACCTCTTTCACACACAACCTTGAACACACATCTCTTTTTAACATAATTCTTTCACACACCAACTTGAACACATACACACTTCCACACACAACGCTCACACAACTCTTTCGCACAAACTTGAACACACAGTTCTTTCACACGCAACTTTGTCACTCACATCTCTTTCACGAACTTGAACGCACAAACTTCCACACAAACACACACACACACAACGCTTTCACACACACGGAACAAGCTTGAACACAACAACTTCCACACACTGCCTTTCACACACTGCCTTTCACACACGATTCTTTCATATACAGCATTGTCACACACAACCGTTCCTTGTCACACACAGCACTTTCACACAGAACTCTTTCACGCACAGCTCTATCACACACAGTTCTTTCACACAATCTGTCTTCCCCATCCCATTTTTCACACCTGTTTTGAGCTTGTTGCAGGAAGTTGACATGTGGGGTTATCCGGTCCTTTAATTATATATTATGTATATAATTCTATATACTTATACATAACATACATATTTATCATAATCATCATGGTAACAGGAGTCACCGCATAAATATATTTACATATGTTTGTGTGTGTGCGCCATGGTCCCCAGCTGGATTGCACACCCATATTGCAGAATGATCACGCCAGTATTATATAGTAGGGAATCATACTGGCCAATTACTGGAAGTAGTGAATCGCTAGATGGGTTTGTCTGAAAATATGGTACCCCGTTCCATCCTGTAATTAACCATTGTGGTTTCTTATTTCAAAAACCACAAAGCGGGCGTGAAACCACCAATTTCAGACACACCCATGTGGTTTCAATGTTTCAATCTTTGAAAACTGCTTGATAGTGTCAAATCTCGAAGTGATTCTTCCACCTTACGTTTTAAATGGTCCCATTTGACCACTTTTTTTGGGATTGGTTGGGGCCACCAAAAGCAAAAATCCGTGACAGAGCTCCAATCGGCAAGCGGTTTGTGCATTTCAATACATTCTTTTCTTTCGTCCTTGATGGTGCATCCCCGGAGTTGTAGGTAGCGAGCAATACAACATATCAAGTACGTATACATACATACATAAATAAATAAATATATATATATATATATACACATACAGTTCATATGTGTATATATATATACACATGCATACATTTATACGTAAATGCATTAGATAGATTGGTTGATTACTGGTTGATTGACTGATTGATAGGTACACGCATACATACATACATACATACATAGATACATACATAGATACATACATACATACATACATACATACATACATACATACATACATACATACATACATACATACACACATACATGCATACATGCATACATGCATACATGCATACATACATGCATACATACATACATACATAGATACATACATACATACATAGTTTCGACAAACAATTCTATATATATATATATATATATTATACATACATTTTAAGCACATTTCTTTAAATATACACGCACATATTTATATGTATATATATATATATGCAATTGTAACTCGGTATGTCGCAATAGCCTGATTCCTGACTGGGCCATTCATACCGCTAAGTAGCCACGACTAGATTAATTCATGGGTCCACATTCAGTCTGATGATGCTCTGTCGGGGCGCTTGGCGGCATTTCGAGGCATCAATGGTTTTGGATTCCACTGCAAAGGTGTCGGTGCCTCGCTGCGATCTGGAGCGGGAACTTGTGGAAACCATGCTTACAAAACATTTGCTGACAAAACCTCTTGACAAGATTTGCAAATCAGGACCTGTAAGAGAATCTCTCAAGACCGTCATAGAAGGACGTTCCAGATGATCTTGCAAGATAGTGTGCGTCCCGCAAGAGCTTGCATAGAAGTAACACAAGGCATCTTCAAAGACTTCATGCAAGGACCTCTTGCGAGAATCTCACCAGGATCTCCGCAAGATCTTCTCGTAAAAGGACATTTAGCGGATCTTACAAGATCTTTTTACAATAGCCTCTCCAGAGCATGTCCCAAAAGCTTTCATGGAAGCACCGCCAACACAGGCCACAACGACAGGGATCCAACACGCACAAAGAGACCACCCAAGACTTACAAAGGGACGAGAGGGTTGAGCGATCTCCTGATGTATTTTGACCAATTTTTGCACGCACCACGAAAAGTGAAAGTTGAACATGTCAAGAGACATGTGTTTGCTAGATTTCAACCAATTTTTCGTCGAGATCTCTCAAGTATTGCACCTGAAACAGAAAGTTAGCTTAGAGCACCCGAAGTATTGCGCCTGCCATGCGCAATGAGCACCAAGAACCAGATCCAAAAATGCCGACAGTCTCACAAAACGAGTGTTACGATCGTCCAAGTTCACCACCTTAAATTTCGCGCCTGCAATAAAAATCCGCCGGCAGCACCTCTCAGTTCGACCCGCGCCTGCAGCATTTTAGCAACGTGCACGAAATACTGCACCTGCCACGCGAATGAAAACGTGTCTTGTGTCCTGCGCCTGCCACACAAAACTCCAGGCTAGGAACTTTCGTGCTGTAAGGGTCTCCAAAAGGCCATCAGCGCAGCTTTAACTTTAACTTTACCCTGAGCCTCGAAAAAGAAATAAAATTTCTAATTTGAAAGATTTACTCTTTTGAACAAAATATTCGATTTTTTCCCGAATGCGTAGCGAAGGATTCCCGGCTATAGTTGGGGGTCTGGGGGTTGGACCTTTGTTCGCCGCCAGTTGGTCGGCGCGTCGTTTTTCGCGTCGTTTTTCGCGTCGTTAATTCGGTGTCTATAGGGGAAGCTGCAAAACCTCGTGTCTTTTGCTACGTAGATGTCGCAGTGTCTATAGGGGAAGCTGCAAAACTTCGTGTTTTTTGCTACGTGGATGTCGCCGTGTCTATAGGGGAAGCTACAAAACATCGTGTTTTTTGCTACGTAGATGTCGCAGTGTCTATAAGGGAAGGTGCAAAACATCGTGTTTTTTGCTACGTAGATGTCGCATTGTCTATATAGGGGAAGCTGCAAAACCTCGTGTTTTTTGCTACGT